AAGTAAATATTAAAATAAAACTAATTGAAAATACAAGGGAAACCAACTATTTAAGAAAAGGAAAACCACTATAGAAAGACCTTAGAAAGTTGCTTTAATTTTTATTCATTTTCTATACTTACTGTTGAATGGTGATGGTTTAGATGAATCAGTGAAACTATCAATTATGTCTTTTGAGATGATCTTATTTTCTGCAAAGTTAATAAAAAATGTTTACATAAAGGCAATTTAAAACTCATTAAGGTAGAGACCTGGTATTAGCTTAATACTATTTGCACTGTCCTATACTTGTGTAATCACAATGAATAAATTAGATTGATTAAATAGCCAACAAACAAATATGTACAAAAGAAAATATGTAAAAACCAAAAATCTCCAAGTAAGTAAAAATATTTAGGAAATCAAGCCCCACTATGGACACACACACGTGTGCATGTACACATGTGCACACATAAACACACACACAAAGAAAATTAGCCTATATGATCATGGTCCACAAAAAAATGAAATAATTTGAGAAATAATAAGTACTCACCATCTGCTGCAGAGTTCAGTAACACCCCTAGCTGGTCTTCATTTAAAGGGTTTTCCAGGTTCTTCAAGGTGGATAAAAGTTCTTTAACTTCAGCTTTTCCATCAGAGACAGTATTAACAACAAGCCATGCATCTTCTATTCCTATGAACATATATTGATGGTTAGTCTATGTAAATAAGCTCATAACAACTAGAATAAAGGAAATGTATTCATTTTCTAGAATAGCTCATCTTTTTCTGTTGCTTTGAAAAATCCTCTATGCTGAAAGCTTCACAAAATCCTTATTTTAATGCTTAGAGATATGAAACATTAAAACACTTTACCTTAATTTTTATTTTAAGTAGTTGTACAACTGAGTTGTCATTTGAGAAAACAGTATATGATTACAATGAATCATGACCCTTTCGTCATTTTCTGCCATCCTTCCCAACTCCAACCCTTCCCTCAACTTTCTTAATTTTCTAGAATATGAATTTCAAGAAACAAAATAACTAAGACCACAATAGTCCCTAAAGAAAATATGCCACAATATTTAAAATTCCTTTTTAAATTAAAAAAGTGTCCCTAACTCTCCCTCTCCAAATGTTTGGCAAGAATTTCAATGCTCTTGATGATAGGCTAGTAAACAGATTTTTTATTAACTTAATTTTAAATATTAATCTCTGACAATTTTGGGTCTGTACTAAGGTTTGAACTCAGTGTCTCCAACTTCCTAAGTAAACATTCTACTGCCTGAGCCATACCCCAGTCCTTTTTTTGTTTTGTTTTTGTTTTCTGGATTAGGTCTCATGCTTTTGCTTTAGCTGGCCTCAAACAGAAATCCTTCTATCTCCACTTCCTGAGTAGCTGTGATTACAGGTATATACCACCATACCTGGCTCTCAGTTAAAAATTCACTCACTGTACACATCATGATTACTATCTTATTTATGTTGTCTCAATTTTTCCTCTAATTCAGGGTAACCCTTTAAATATGAAGAACAACATAAGGTGTCAATGAATCCTGAAACAGAGTTATCTGTTTTATTAGTCTTGGAATTATCTAACTTTTGGTAAAATAAATAATTTCTTTTGGTTGTGTGTATTCCATTTCAGCAACTCCTTTTTTTAAGTTTGTACAGGTTTTATACTGTCATGAATTGGTTAGTTTGTAATACTTTGAAATAGTGTTATAAAGTGATCTTATATCTGATCAGGCACATTCCCCATAATAGTTGTTCTTTTTTTTAAATTAAAAATTTTTTCTGCTGGTCCTGGACCTTGAACTCTGGGCCTGGGTGATATCCCTAAGCTCCTTTTGTTCAAGACTAGTGCTCTACCATTTGAGCAACAGGACCAATATGACTTTTTCATAAATAACTGGAGATTAGAATCTCACAGTTTCCTGCCCTGGCTGGCTTCAAACCTTGAGCCTCATATCTCAGACTCCTGAGTAGCTAGAATTACAAGTGTGAGCTACCATGCCCAGCCCTATAATGGCTCTCTTTGCTATATATACTCTAGTAGTCTTTGGAATAAATACCAAAATTACATGTAAAAGTTTGCATCAAAAATTTCCTGAGATATTGATTGTAAACACATTCAAATTACAGATTCATTTGTAATGTGCTTACTTTTAGCATCTATTTTAAATACCCAGTCTTACAACTCTAATCCTCAACCTGGGTTGATTTACTGTCCTTTTTGCTGAAATGTCAAAACAGACTGAAAAAAACTCAGTTAATCATTTAAAATTACTGGCCAAGAGTAAGAGACTAAACCCAAATAAATTAGAATAAATAAATAAACATATAAAAATAGAAAAGAGCAAAAATCATTGCAGGTGATCAAAGAAAGGAAGAACAGAGAACTGTGATAATAAGGTAGATAATCCTCTGATAAGACTGATAAGAAGACCATAAAATACAAAAGAAAAAGAAATGAATAGAGATATATCCCAGATTTTAAAAGTAATTCAAGAAGATTAGGAAAAATAAATTCATGTTTCAGAAATTTGAAAAATGGGTTTAAAAATGTATATATTTTGGGGGGCGGGGGGAGTTTGGGAAGGGATGGGAAGGGGAAACAAAGGAGGAGGCTACAATGCTTGATAAGAAATGTACTCATTATCTTGCCCATGTAATTGTAACCCCTCTGTACAGTATTTTCACAACAAAAAAGGAAAAAAATGTATATATTTCTACTATGTTTAAAATGAAAGAATGAAAAAGAGGCCTTGAGTGACTTCTGCAAATATACACACACACACACACACAAACACCCCAATCCAAAACATGAAGTTTCTAATTACATTTATTTCAAATTTCATACTTACTTTGACACTCCACAAAGTCATCAGTGTTGGCCAGTTCTCTGATGACATCCTTAAAAGACACCACTTCATCTTTAAAAAAATTAGATATTCTTTTTTTAAAAAACATTTGATATTACAAAATTGATATTATAAAACAAAAATATAAAGCAGAAGAATGGAAGAATGACAATTACCTTGTACATATGCGATGTGTGAACTAAATGTAAAAATAAAAGCTACCAGAAAGATTTTTCCAAAAATAAGTTCCTTTGATACAAAGTATATCCATTAGAAATGAAATAAAAAATGATTTCAACTTTTTTAGACAAGGAGACTGGGAGATGGCTGCTTTAGGCATTTAAGGTGAAGCTTCTGAAAAACTTAAAACTTTGCATAAAATACAATAATTACTCACCATTAGGATTAATATTATCCAAAACCTTCTGTGTTTCATCATCTGTTAGGTGGATTCCTATAGCATTTAAATTTTGCTGAATGTCAGAAACGGTTTTAGGATCACTTTTACGAATGTTGACATTGTAAAATTTATTTTTATCCTCTGGAAAGAGATAATTACTTTTCAGCTGGAGAGTAACAAAAAATTTAGGAATAGAAGAAAGCCTACTCAACCTGAAAAGAAAACTCTACAGCTGACATCATGCTTGGTACCGAAACACTAAGTGGTTTCTTCTAAAATCACAAACAAAAACTTAAAATTCTCACCACCTCTATTCAGCATTATTCTGGAGATGGTGGCCATAGCAAGGGACTTACAAAGACATAAAAGGTTGAAAAATAAGACAAAAACTTACCTTTATTAATACATGAGGATCATGGTAGAAACTAGAGAATTTAAAACATCAACTAAAATTACAATTTAGTAAAATTATAGAGTTCCAGGTCAATATAAAAGTTGTATTTCTGTCTAGCAGCAACAGAAAAATAGATGCTATAATTTCATAATAATTTATATAGCTGGAAGAGGAGCTGTGGCTCAAATGGTAGAGCATTTGCCTTGAGCTGAAGAGCTCAGGGACAACACTCAGGCCCAGAGTTCAAGCCCCAAGACCAACAAAAAAAAGAAAAGAAAGAAAGAAAAGCAAAAGCTCAGGGAGAGAGGGTCAGTGCCTAGGTCCAAGCCCCAGAACTTGCACAAAAAACAAAAAACCATAAAAGATGTTCATCAAGCAGGGGGGTGGGGTTGGGGGGCGGAGATGGGAAGCGATGGGAAGGGGAAACAAAGGAGAAGGCAACAATGCTTGATAAGAAATGTACTCATTACCTTGCCCATGTAATTGTAACTCCTCTGTACGGTATTTTCACACACACACACACACACACACACACACAAAAAGATGTTCATCAAGTCCCTTCCACTAGTTTTGCCAAAAGGGTGTGTGTGTGTGTGTGTGCTTGTGTGTGTGTGTGTGTGTGTGTGTGTACACGCACTGGTTTAAAAAGTTTAAAAATTATTTCCTTTATGAATGCTAAATAATCTGAGAATGCTAAGTGACAGTGGCTCATGCCTGGAATCCTAGCTACTCAGGAGGCCGAGATTTGAGGATCAAAGTTTGAAGTTAGCCCAAACAGGAAAGTCCATGAGACTCTTACCTCCAATTAACCACCACAAAAGCCAAAAATGGAGGGATGGTTCAAGAGGTAGAATACCATCCTTGAGTAAAAACCTAAGAGACAGTGCCCAGGCCCCAAGTTCAAAACCCAGTACCACACACACACACACACACACACACACACACACATCAAGTCATTTTCTAGCATTATCAAATAAAAAGCTAATCATAATTTTAAGTTTGGGTTCAGCTTAGCAATAGATGTCTCATAAAATGTTATATAAAAATTGAATCTTGCGCCGGGCGCTGGTGGCTCACGCCTATAATCCTAGCTACTCAGGAGGCTGAGATCTGAGGATCGCGGTTCAAAGCCAGCCCGGGCAGGAGAGACCGTGAGACGCCTATCTCCAATAAACCACCAGAAAACCGGAAGTGGTGCTGTAGCTCAAGTGGTAGAGCGCTCGCCTTGAGCTGAAGAGCTGAGGGACAGCGCCCAGGCCCAGAGTTCAAGCCCCACTACCGACAAAAAAAAAAAAAAAAATTGAATCTTGCTTGATCTTCATATTGCTTCTTATCTATTCTTCAACTATCTAATCTCATACTATTTTAATGTGTAAACCATCACTTGTCTTTCTAGATGTGCACATTATATACATATTAAATAAAACTCACCTGAGGCTTTTGGAATTGTCAGCGAATCTTCAAACTTAGTTATAATTTCGTGAGTAGAAACCTTGCCATCTTCTGTAATACAAAGCAAATTTTAGATCAATGAAATAATTAGTTTTTGTTGTTGTTGTTGTTGTTTGGCAGTACTTAGTGTTTGAACTCAGGGCCTCACACTTATGAGGCTGGTGTAATACCACTGAGCCACACTTTCAGCACTGTCCTTCATTGGTTATTTTTAGAATAAGTTCTTATTTCTTACTTAGGTATACCTCTAAACCAAAATCCTCTTCCTGTCATTGCCATCACTGGGATTACACTCATTCCTGAGACACTGCATCCAGATTCCCTCCATGCAAACAATCTCTCTAACTTTGTTGCCCATACCAGCCTGACAGCTTGATCTTCCCAATCACAGCCTCCCATATGGACTTGCCATGCCAGGCATGCCCACTGAGTCTAGGTATGGTTTGTTTGTTTTGTTTGGGTCCGGTCATGGGGCCTGAACTCTGGGACTGGGCGCTGTCACTCAGCTCTTCAGCTCAAGGCTAGCGCTCTACCACTTGAGCCACAGCACCACTTCCGGCTTTTTTCTTTTTGCTTATGTGGTGCTGAGGAATCGAACCCAGGGCCTCATGCATGCAAGGCAAGCACTCTACCACTGAGCCACCTTCCCAGACCGTTGGTATGGTTTGAAATAGGATCTCATAAGCTTTCCTGTCCCTGCTGGCCTTGAATTATGGTTCTCCTATTCTCAGTCTCCCAAATAGCTAGTATTACAGGTTCAAGTCACTCTGGTTGGCATGTTTTTAAATTAGTTGATAAATCTGAAGCTAACAAGCAAGTTATAAAAATTGCTACAAGCTTAGAAGTCAGCCTTGAGGGGCTGAGTTCGATTCCTTAGCACCACATAACCAGAAAAAAAAAGCCGTAAGTGGGGCTATGGCTCAAGTGGTAGAGTGGTAGCCTTGAGCTGAAGAGCTGAGGGACAGCGTTCAGGCCCAAAGTTCAGGCCCATGACCGGACCCCCCCCCAAAAAAAAGAAGTTAGCCTTGATTACTTCTTTCCTCTTATTTCTTATATAAACAGAATTATCAGCTTGTCTTTGTTCCTAATACTTACTGAATGTATTGCATTACCTAACTCCTGTGGTATTAAAATAGCATCCTTTAAAAGCCTATAACCCCAATCTCATCCTTTCCATTTATTTCCCACAATTGGGTAAAGAAGATCTGTATCTTAAAAAACAAATCTGATCACCCCTATAAACACAATCCTTCTGTAGCTTCCACTTGTCTACTACAGACTAAATTAACACTGTCAGTCAGTTACCCATGGTTCACGCTTGTAATGCCAGCTAGATTTGAGGACTGTCAGGCTGAGCAGGATAGTCCTTAAGAGATACCTCCAATTAACCACCAAAAAGCTGGAAGTAGTTCAAGTGGTAGAGTGCTAGACTTGAGCAAAAAGCTCAGAGACAGAACCAGGCACTAAACTTAAGCCTCAGGACTGGCATAAAACAAAACAAGGAGCCCCCAACAAGAAACAGCCTGGAATCAGAAGGATTCACTGCCAAATTCTATCAGGCCTCCTAAAGAACAAACACCAGTGCTCCTATAAAATAGAAAAGGGATGAATACTAGCAAACCCATTCTATGAAGCTACTGTTAGAATGATACCAAAACCAGATTAGGACACAACAAAAAAGAAAACTATAGATCAATCTCCTTCATACAAATAAGTATAAAATATCAAAATAAAATATGTGCAAATGAATTCAACAACATATCAAAAAGACCCCACATTGTAAGCAAAACTGGTTTAATTCCAAGGATACAAGGTTTAACACATAATACAAATCAATAAGCACAATACAGCTCATAAACACAGTTAAGGACACATATCCTCTCAATGGTTGTAGAAAATATCTGTAACAAAATTCACCATTTCTTAGTGATAATAATCCCGAAGAAACTAAAAATAGAAGGCACATACCTCAATAAAATGAAGCATATGTATGGGCAAATCTATAGCAACCTGGTACTAAATGGGAAAAAAGGAAAGCATTTCTTCTAAAATCAATCTCTACTACAAAAAAAGTCTACAAAGTAGAAAAAAAGTTTTCAAAGCTGGGTGTTGATGGCTCACACCTGTAATCCTACCTACTCAGAAGGCTGAGATCTGAAAATCATGGTTCGAAGTAGGCCCATGCATGAAAGTCTATGAGACCCTTATCTCCAATTAGCTACCTGAAAACTGGAAGTAGCACTGTAATTCAAAGTAGTAGAACACTAATCCTGAGCAAAAAGAGCCCAGGACAGGACTCAGGCCCTGAGTTCCAGCCCCACAACCAACAAAACTAAAACTAAAAATAATAATTCATCTGTTTATATGACAAGGAAGTAATACTTAGAATACATAAAGAGATCATAAAACTAAACATTAAAAGAACAAATGACCCAATTAATAAGTTGCCAAGCTAATTCAACAGTTTCAAACAAAGGACAAATGCTAAATAAGCACATAAAATTTTCACCATCATTAGCCATAAAAGAAATGCAAATCAATTCTTCATTGAAATTCCATCTCACCCTAGTCAGAGATACTATCAACAAGGTAACAAATAACTACAAATGATGATGATGCAGGAGTTGGAGAATAGTGAGGAACTCCTTTACACTGTTGGTGAGAATAAATTAGTATTGTCATTATAGGAATCAGTGTGGAGGTTCCTCAAAAAAACAAAAATACAAAAAGCATAAAATCCTACTACAGCCAGGCTCATGCCTGTAATCCTAGCTACTCAGGAGGCTGAGATCTGAGGATCACGGTTCAAATTCAGCCCAGGCAGGAAAAGTCTGTGAGACTCTTTTTTTAAAAAAAAAATTTTATTGTCAAGGTGATGAACAGAGGGGTTACAGTTACATAAGTAAGGTACATTTCTTGTCAAACTTGTTACATTTTTAACAACTGCAATTTCTTAAATACTTAGATACTTTTTATTAGTTAGCTTCTGTCAGATTAAAAACAAAATACAGGCTAGGTGCTGGTGGCTCACGCCTGTAATCCTAGCACTCAGGAGGCTGAGGTCTGAGGATCATAGTTCAAAGCCAGCCCAGGGAAAGAAAGTCCTATTATTATTATTGTGAAAATACTGTACAGAGGGGTTACAATTACATGGGCAAGATAATGAGTACATTTCTTATCAAGCATTATAACCTCCTCCTTTGTTTCCCCTTCCCATCCCTTCCCCCCACTCAATCCTCCTTCCTCCCCCCACCAAAGTTGTAAAGTTTGTTTTCGACATAACAACTTGTACGTCTCATTGTTGCAATGGGTCCACCTGTATCCCTATTTAAACGATTTGTTTTTTCCCTTCCCCTCCACAAATTATACCGACATCAAATACAGTGAAAGCACGGGCTATACTGTGGGAGAGGGACATACAAAGCAACAAAGAAATAATCTTATAAATGTGTTAGAAACAATCGCATGAAAGAAAAAAAACATTTGAATACATATCTTAGGGTTCATTTCCCTAACATCTTATCTCCAATAAACCACTAGAAAACTGGAAGTGGCGCTGTGGCTCAAGCGGTAGAGCAGTCACCTTTAGCTGAAGAGCTGAGGGACAGTGCCCGAGCCCAAGCCTACTACACCATTCTTGGTCATATACTCAAAGGAAAATAAGACAACATACTATAAAGATACCTGCATACCCATATTTATTGCAGTAGTATTCACAATAACCAAGTTATGCAATCAGACCAGATGCCCATCAACAGATGAATGCACTTTAAAGCACAGTAAATACACATAATGGAGTATTATTTAGGCAAAAAAGAAAATGAAATTGTCATTTTCATAAAAATAGATGGGACTAGGGATCATCCTATTAAGCAAGATAAGCCAGATTTGGAAAAAAATAAACACTATGTGTTTTCTTAGAATCTAGATAAAAGAACAAGGAGGAGGAGGAAGAGGAGGAGAGGAAGGGATGACTATCATTTGGGGCAAATGATAAAATATATCATATATTTTATATGATATATATTATATATATGATATATAAAATATATCATATGTATTCATGAAAAGATCATAATGAAGCTCATATAAAAATTTGTAAGGAAGTTTTTTTAAGGGGAGAGTTAGGAGGAAAGAAAGTAAGAGTAATAAAAGGTGTGAATATGATCAAAAAGTATTATATGCATGTATGGAAATAGCACAATGAAACCCCTCACATTATGTATTATTTTCCATTACCAAGAAATTTTAAAATTTTAATGCATTGAAACTATTAACCATATTCAGGTAAATTTCTTAATATTTCAGTAAGTACAACATTAGCTGTATCAAGGTCATCCTTCACTAATAATGTCTTGATGTCAGAGACATCAACAAGGTCATCTTGAAGAATTTGGGTAATAGCTAAGAGTAGCTCTATAGCTGCAAAAAGAGTAAAATCAAATGTTTCAATAGCAGAGACAAGATATATTCCTCATTACTTAATAGTCTCCATTTGCATCTGGTAATAGAACTTATGGGGAGCTATTAATATAGTTTTTTGGGGGGGGAATCCGGTCATGGGGCCTGAACTCTGGGCCTGGGCGCTCTCCCTCAGCTCTTCAGCTCAAGGCTAGCATTGTACCACTTGAGCCACAGCGCCACTTCCGGCTTTTTTCTTTTTGCTTATGTGGTGCTGAGGAATCGAACCCAAGGCCTCAGGCATGCAAGGCAAGTGCTCTACCACTGAGCCAACTTCCCAGCCCTTAATACAGTTTTAAAACAAGAATATATAAATCCTCAAAGAAACAACTATCCAATAAATAAGTGGGCTAAAGACTTAAAGAAAAACTTCTCTGAAGAAGAAAGAAGGATGGCCAATAGACACATGAAGAAATGCTCAACATCCCTAGCCATAAAAGAAATGCAAATCAAAACAACATTGAGATATCACCTCACTCCAGTTAGAATGGCAAAAATCAAGAACTCTAACAACAACAGATGCTGGAGGGGATGTGAACAGAAGGGAACCTTACTGCATTGTTGGTGGGAGTGTAAACTTGTTCAACCACTTTGGAAAGCAGTATGGAGGTTCCTCAAAAGACTTCACATAGAGCTCCCCTGTGACCCAGCAATCCCACTTTTGGGCATTTACCCTAATGTTTACAAACAAGACCACACTAAAGCTACCAGCACAACTATGTTTATTGCAGCATTATTTACCATAGCTAAGATATGGAACCAACCCAGATGCCCCTCAGTAGATGAATGGATCAAGAAAATGTGGTATATATACACAATGGAATTCTAAGCCTCCATCAGAAAGAATGACATTGCCCCATTTGTTAGGAAATGGAAAAACTTGGAAAAAATTATATTAAGTGAAGTAAGCCAGGCCCAAAGAAACATAGGTCCCATGGTTTCCCTCATTTGCAATATCTAGTATATGTATGAGTCAAGCGGAAAAGGTCAGATAATGTGATGTTAGGAAAATGAACCCTTAGATATGTATTTTAATGTTTTTTTCTTTCATGCATTTGTTTCTAACGCATTTATAAGATTATCTCTTTGTTGCTTTGTATGTCCCTCCCCCACAGTATAACCCCTGCTTTCACTATATTTTATGTCAGTATAACTTGTGGAGGAGATGGGGAAAAACAAGTCATTTAAGGATACAGGTCGACCTGTTGCAACAATGAGAAGTACAAGTTGTCATGTCGAAAACGAGCTTTACAACGTTGGTGTGGTGGGGGGGGGAGAGGGAGGGGGGAGGATTGGGGGGGGAGGCTGGGAAGGGATGTGAAGGGTAAACAAAGGAGGAGGCTGCAATGCTTGATAAGAAATGTACGCATTATCCTGCCCATGTAATTGTAACCCCTCTGTACAGTATGTTCCCCCCAAAAAATTAAATTTAATTTAAAAAAGAAACAAGAATATATAATAGCTAACAATTAAGAACTAAGTGCTAGATATAGCCCAAGAATTTTTACTTTATTTATTTGGTCTTATCATAGTACCAAAGTAGACATTATTATCATTTTTCAGAAGAAGAAATTGAGATTAGCAAGATTAAGTAACCTACTAAAGACTACATTGTTAATTAGGTGGGCATGCTCAGGATTCAAATCCAAAGCTCAAGCTCTTAACCACTGTGCCTTTCAACTAAACACATAAAAGTAGTCAGACTTTATCCCTTGGGTCATTTAACACTCAGTTGTGGCTTCTGAAACCATTTTGAACTGGTATGACACTGACTCCAACGTTAAGAAAAAATCTATTTTGCTGCTCCCCATATCTTGCATAGCTATAGCTAGCTAGACACCATCTTGAGAGGAGGCCTGTTTTTTTAGGTTGAGCTACTCTGGGATCTGAAAACAAGAAAAATTACAAGTCAGGGAGCCTGAGGGCATCTTCTCACAGTGTCTAGGTGGGCACAGACATGAGAGGTGGTCATAGTGTAGAGGAGGATCATAAATAGAGCCAATGAGATTTTTACACAGAAGGCATTTTGTACTGTCAAGGATGTGGGAGTCAGAGACTCTGCTCTTTATAGAAAGGAACTGCACTGTTGCCTGTGGATCACTTAAGAGATCAAAAGTTCCTAGCCCCTGTCCATGGCCAACAGATTACTTGGCCACTGGAGCTGCCTCCTGAGTGTGGCTTGCTGCCAGGTGGGACTGAGAGGTCTGACGCCAGGGTCAGTAGATCACTGTTTTTCCAGCTTTCTCCCTCTTACCAGGCAGTTTAGTACTTTATTGGGTGAAATCTGAAAACTCCGAGACTAGCTGACCAAGTTCCAGCAATCCTCAGTTCTGTTACAGTGTAGATCTCAGTGCTGTTTGCTTCCTTCACTCTTGTGCACTTGAGGGATGTGTATGTCTACCACTCCTGGTATGTCTATTAAGTAACACTAGCAAATCAAGACCCTAAGTTCAAATAAACTCTAGTTTTGCCAAAAGAAGATAAAGGAGGAAGGAAGAGGTGATATTGGAGAACTGAAGGGATATTGAAGGAGGAAGAAGAGGAGAAAGATGAGGAGAAAGAGAAAGAGGAGAAAAAGGAGAAAGGAAGGAAGAAAAGAAGGAAGGGAGGGAAAGAGGAAGGAGAGGAATGGGCATTGAAGCCACTATCCATAGTTAATCTGCTTCAGTCACTGGAAATCATTATGGCTTTCTGAACAAAGATATGTTCAAAATGATATTTGAGTTAGATAATTCTTAAATGAATCTTTTTGGGTTTTTTTGGCCAGTTCTGAGGCTTGAACTCAGGGCCTGGGCTCTGTCCCTGAGTTGCTTTTGCTCAAGGCTAGCACTCTACCACTTGAGCCACAGCACCACTTCCAGCTTTTTCTGTTTATATGGTAATGAGAAATTGAACCCAGAGCTTCCTGCATGCTAGACTAGCACTCTACCACTAAGCCACATTCCCAGCTGATTCATATATAATTGATAAGCATACAAGATGCATTTCCTATTTTGTGAAAACAATTTTTTTTTTTTTTGCCGGTCATGGGGCCTGAACTCTGGGTCTGGGCGCTGTCCCTCAGCTCTTCAGCTCAAGGCGAGCGCTCTATCACTGGAGCCACAGCACCACTTCCGGCTTTTTCTGTTTATGTGGTGCTGAGGAATCGAACCCAGGGCCTCATGCTTGCAAGGCATACACTCTACCGCTGAGCTACCTTCCCAGCCCCATGAAAACAATTTTTTGAATGAAAGAAATTCTTATTTAAAAGTTAAAAACTCTTTTCAATTCAAAAGATAGAAAACAGCAAGTCACCTTGAAGCAGATTTGAGAAGGGCCACCCTAAGATAGAAAAACCATACAGCATATAGAAACCCAGGAAGAGACTAGGTTATTCAACAGATAGAGCACAGGTAAAAGAAGAATCTTGCTGAGTACTGGTGGCTCATACCTGTAATCCTAGCTACTCCAGAGGCTGAGATCTGAGGCTAATGGTTCAAAGCCAGCCAGGGCAGGAAAGTCTGTGAGATTCTTATCTGCAATTAACTACCAGAAAACCAGAAGTGGAGCTGTAGCTTAAAGTGGTATAGTGCTAGTCTTGAGCAAAAAAAGCACCCATGCTCAGTTCAAGCCCCACAATTGACAAAAAAATAAACAAAAAAGAAGAATTTCTAATCCTTTATTGTTGAAATTCAAAGGTAAGGAGTATGTTAGAGAAGGTTAGGGCAAAGGTAGAAAAAAACAGAATGAGAGGCCTCACTACTGATCCAAGCCAGCAAGAGAAAAGATGGCCCAGATACAGTACTCAGGTCCTGAGTTCAAGTCCCAGGACCAACACACACACACACACACACACACACACACACACACACACACACAGGCTAAAACCCCCAAGACCTCTGCCAATCTAGATCGCACATTTTTTGTATGAACTACACAAATGTTACTTGTTACATGGCACCTTCTGTAGGCAGCCAAAATCAAGCATGGATGTTCAAGTATTGGAGAGTTCAGTGGAGTATGAACCTCATTTTAGCCTTGTACTTCCCTAAACATATCTCTCTGCATATGTATAACCCCTATAGCCAAGAGGGACCATTGTTCTCACCCAAATTAAAATATAAAACAATCTGTACTGATCCTTCTAATTTTTCATCTATATCATATCTGATTCATTTATCGTCAACCTGAAAATTAAGTCATATATGTGTGAATATACATATAAATGTATAAATGTATATACTTACATATGTATATATGTATATATTTCCATATTCTGAAAAATGTGGCATTATACAGGTCACTTGGGAAAAATACCATGGTATCATAATAGAACTATATTCCTTCTACTAATAATTATTACTTTTTTTTTTTTTTTGGTCAGTTGTGGAGCTTGAACTCTAGGCCTGGGGGCTATCCCTGAGCTCTTCAGCTCAAGGCTAGTGCTCTACCACTTGTGCCACAGTGCCACTTCCAGCCTTTTCTGTTTATATGGTGCTGAGGAATCGAACCCAGGGCCTCATGCATGTGCGGCAAGCACTCTATCACTGAGCCACCATCCCAGCCCCATACTACTAATTTTTTTTTGGTCCATCGTGGGGTTTGAACTCTGGGCCTGGACGCTGTCCCTGTGCTCTTCAGCTCAAGGCGAGCACTCTACCACTTGAGCCACAGAGCCACTTCCAGTTTTCTAGTGGTTTATTGGAGATAAGAGTCTCATAGACTTTCCTGCCCAGGCTGGCTTTGAACCGCAGTCCTCAGATCTCAGCCTCCTGAGTAGCTAGGATTACAGGTGTGAGCCACTGGCGCCTGGCCACTAATAATTATTTTTAAAGCTACTAAGAACAAAAAAAAAAATTCAATCCCTCTTATCAAAAAGTTTCCAGCAGCTAGGTGTGGTAACATATGCCTATAATCCCAGTGACTCCCTTAAATTAAGGCAGGAAGTTTGCAAGTTTTAGGGCAGACTGGTCAAAATCAACAATACCTTATCTCAAAAGCAGTATTTTTTTAAGGGGGCCTAAGGTATAGCTCAAATGATATAGATATAGTGTTTGCCTAGCAAACCCAGGTTCTGGGTTCAGTACCACACACAAAAAACAGTTTTCTGTAAGTTTCTTGATGAAAGAGACTGAATTTGTAATCTGTATAAACAAAATTTTAACGCATGATTGTCAACAGTGCTGTGAGAAAAAAATACATAAGAAAGTATAGAAGTACTGAGAAGGTTAACTGAGTTTTCTCACTTCATTTAGTGAGTAATGAACTCAGAAGAAAGTGTCATAGAACATGACATAATATTTGAGCCAGGCTGGGTGCTGGTAGCTCATGCCTGTAATCCTAGCTACTCAAGAGGCTGAGATCTGAGGATAGTGGTTCAAAGCCAGTCTGGGCAGGAAAAATCCATGAGACTCTATCTCTAATAAACTTCTCAGAAAAGAAACTGGAAGTGTTGCAGTGAATCAAGTGGCAGAACACTAGCCTTGAACACAAAGACGCTCAAGGACAGTGCCCAGGCCCTGAGTTCAAGTCCCAGAACTGGCAAAAAGAAAAGGGAAAAGAAAAAGAAAGAAAGGAAAAGAAGAAGAAAAATCTGAACCAAGTTTGTCAGTTTATCTGACAGGAAATGTATACCAATAAAATAGCACACAAAAACAGATGGAACCAAGAACAAATTGAGCCAGTTTTAATTATAAGTTGTAGTATGGCTATACAAATACAGAAGTAATAAATAAGAAGCTAAAACGATAACACAGTTATCAGTTAATATTTATAAATTATCATAAGATATTTGGAACAATATCAGTAAATGTAAGTGTGAGCTATTAATAATAGCTATTTTTTTTAGTATGAAAAGAACCAGGATTGTGCTGCTTTCTAGAGATGCAACAGTCCTTGACCCAACAATACTACACTATAGCATAACTACTGTGAAACACAAAGTATAAGCAAAGGGAGTCAGGAGAGAATATCTCAAGAAATGGAAAGATTGAGAGTAAAAGAAAAGGGAGTATCTACAGAATTGGGAAAAAATGGAGTTGAATGTTCATAATAATGGCACAGAGCTAGGACATACAGAAATTTCATCTTTAAATATCTGATTACTATTTGGAAATAATAATCTACCTGAAGTGCCCAGGGTAGATTAGGAATGCAGTTAGTACTTGACAATGATCTGAAAAAAATAAAAGCCTCTTATTTGGAATTTTTCTCATTTGGAAAGTTCTTACTCACCATTCATCTCCGACAACTTCAGATTTGAAGGTACAGCCTCATTTCTAAAATCTGAAAATTTAGAGACAGAGACAATACAATGAAGAATGGCATCTTGACATCAGCAAGTTTGGAAGGAAAAGCAACAATTAAAACTTCTTTTCTCATTCACATTTATCCCTGGGGTTCCCTCCTTTGAAATCTTACCTGGCTGAAAGGAGACTGATAGAGGGAGTAAAACTGATTCAAACATATTAAAGACATGTATAGAATCATAGTAACGGAGTTGTTAAATCTTCCTCAGTCTCTCAAACTATCAAGATTTTCTTACTCATCTTTCTCATTCCTAAAGCCCCTCTGTGGTCGCCACCAATTCCTTAAATGTGACAGTTTCTAATGGCATTGGTACTTCCTTTCTCTCTCACTTTGTTTTCGTAAACTCGCCATCTGAATAATTACCTGTGTCTAACTCTCCTTACCTACCCAGCTAACTACTATCTAATCCTGGAATTTTTCCTAAGGGCAAACTGCACTTGCATTCATTTATCCTACATGCTTCCTACAGAGATGCAAACTGATACTGAGATCTATTTGAGGGATAATCATTAGAAATAAAATCTATTTGTCTACATTAACCTTTTTGTAGTTAACAAACAGTTGTAACTCACAGCTAGTCCAGATGTTACCTTGTAACAAATGGAGGTTAAAATACAGATAAATTAACTTTTGTCTAAGTAAGATAAACAAAACAACTAAACTATTAAAAATACTTTTAATAGGATCAAGGGATTTTTAGAAATAACTCTAAAACAGTAATTTTTTTGAACTTCAGCGTTAATCAATATTTTGTTCAAGATAACTATTTGGGGAGGTGGTGCTGTAATATAAATAGCAGAGTATTTAGCAGCATCTCTTGCCACTGCTAAGTAGATGCTAGTAATCCTTCCTCATCTGCCCTAATAACCAAAACTGTCTCCAGACATTGACAAATATTCATTGTCATTTTTTGACAAAATTAAACTTATAGGAAAGACATGCATAAGATATATCTGAGGTGAGAGTGTAGACAGATCAAGTAAATTGTTTGAAAATTGACATACAACACTAGCCATTGTCTAGATAAACAAAACCAATATTAAGAGCACTATAAAGCATATAATAGTAAAAGTATTAACTTTGGAATAAAATTACTCTAGCAACAGACATCAATTGAATAACATACCACAACATTCAGAAATATTTTGAGATCAGTTTGGCAATTCAGGTTATGAGATTACCCAGACATTTAACAACAATAATTTCTATGGATTTAACATAGGTGTAGTACTAAATATGATCCATAGCAAACTGGTTCAATAAGTTCATGGTGTTCTTTTGGTGATAAATAAGAAATTTCTAATTAATACTTGGTAAAGTAATTTGAAATCCTCAGATCAAAATTTAGAAGAACAACATCAAATATTCAAACTAAAAAGCCTACATCTGAGGTTCCTTAATTTAAAAAAAAAATAAAGTAAAATTTTTAAAAATGTTTATTACAGGGTGTGATTGTCTGCTCCAAGTCGTTAAGTATTTCTTGACGAGTATCATCAGTAAAATAAGTCTTTTCAACTACATCAGAATATTTGTCCTTATCAGACGGATAACTGTCTTCCAGGTGGTCCAAAGTATTGATGATCTCATTCAAGGCTACAATACAGAAAATATACATACAACATATTATTTAGTACATAGATCTAAATCTTTTGATCACAGCAATAAAACTAATAACCTCTTTTACATCTACACTCTTTGATATGGCACTCAATAAGGTACTTGCAAGACAAATGTGGGTCCCCCTTAAGAACAATCTACTTTCCACTCTGATAATTTTCTATAAGCTCACTTAGAAAGTTTTCTCTACTCCAATAATTGTGTATTTATAACCTTTTTTAGTTGTAAATAACCTGGGGTTTTGTTTCTTTGTTTTTGTTTTGTTTTTCTGAACTGGGCTTTAAGCCCAGGACCTTACATTAGGAAGTGCTCTCCCACTTGAGCTATGCCTCTTTTCTTTTTTTGTGACAGGTCTTGCTAGGTAGTACAGGTTGGCATCAAATTTACAATCCTCCTGTCTCCACTTCCCAAGTTCTAGGATTACAGACATTCACCACCATGTGTAGCTCATAATTCTTTTCTTTATGCTTAAAATTATTTTTTTAAGTGTCTAGGACTTGGGTGGGCTATTCCTCTGTGAACACATATCAATGTTTCTCTAGTTATTATGTCAATGAGCTCACTATTTCAGTAAAAATGTTCCCCTCATTCTTTACAAAACCTTTCAACTCCAATTCTCTTTCAGCTTTCCTTCCCACATCTTTTGTTCCTGCCAGCTACCTTAGTCTATTCTAAAGAGACTCATGGTCTCATATTTAGCACACATTTGGACTAGAAAACCCACAACCAACCTCCTTAATTTTTCTACAAAAGAATTCATACTTCTAAAGTATATTTCTAAAAAATCATTTCAAAATTGGCCGAAAGAAATGTAAAATAAATTATTTTAAACTTTATCTAAAAGTAACTATCATTTAATAGATTATTTTGTCCTCTGATATAGAAGTTTTAAAAACAGGTCAGTGTAGAGGAATTCAAGGGAAATTTGTCGATACAAAAAAGATTAATTTAGTGAAAAGAAATGAGAAAATAAGTTGTTTTCATATTTCTGGAAATCTATTTTCACCAGTAAAAAAGTCCAAATGTATATGATTCCAGGAATGGAAAAATAAGAGAATTTTACCAAAAATATGTAATAAAATTCTAGTTCTATAGCTGTCCAAAATAAATTAATTTTTTTACTGTTACTATAAAGATGATGTACAGAGAGGTTATAGTTACGTAAGTCTGGTAAAAAGTACATTTCTTTTTGGACAATGTCACTCCTTCACTCTCTCCCAGTTTTTTTCCTCTTGTCAGGGGTGGGCTATTTTTTAAGCTTTAAAAGTTTATCTATATCTTTTTTAAATAATTTGAATGGTTCTCATTATTCTGTTTTCAAACATGTATATGATGTACTTTTGTAATATTCACTGTGGAATGGATTATTTAAAAAAAGCTATAAGGACTTCCAAGACAGAAAGAATGAGTGTATCCTATCATTAGTACATCCCTACAGCTAACTAATTTGATTTCTGAAAGAAGCATATAAAAACTGAAGAAAATCCACTTTTTAGGGATGAGTGTGGTGTTACATGTCCGCTGGAGGCATAGCAAGGATTGTGATCCAGGCAGTCCCAAGCAAAAATCACCAGACCCTATCTGAAAAAAAAAAGAATAACTAGAGCAAGAAATAAAAGGAGGTTACAGGTGTGACTCAAGTGATAGTGCACATGCCTAGCAAGTGCAAGGCCCTGAGTTCTCAATACTACCAACACTCCTCTCAAAAAAAGAAAAGATAGGAGACTCCACTTTTAATGAACAGAGGAACTATCAAACTCTAGCTACATTTCTCTAACTACAATGAGATAAAATTAGAAGCAACAACTGGGCAACAGTGAAATCTGAATTGCTTTGAGAGTTCTAGTTTTCTCCTAAGCATCCAGTTAGATAATACTGGGGACTCAAATTCATGGCCTCATGTTCACTAGTTTGCTTGCTCATGTGGCACTCTACCACTTAAGTGATGTCTCCAGTCCAGTATTTTGCTGGATAATGGGAGAAAACCTTGTCTTTTCTGTCCAGACTAGCTTCAAACTGAGATCCTTAAAGTCTCAGCCTCCTAAGTAGCTAGCATTACAGGCATGAGCCACTGGCAACTCGATGACCTATCAGTGAGAGTGGGGTACTGACGTTTCCTACAATTAGCTCTGGTCCAAGTTCAAAGGATCACATCTCACAGTGGTCTTCCAAGATGGTTATGATAGCCCTGGTGAGAGATAGTAGCATATCTATATGTTCTCTGGTCTCTCTTTTCTTATACAGCCACAAGGGCTCTATCCTAATGATCTTATGTAGTCCTAATCAGTTCCCCACGGCCTCAACTCCAAAAGTCACAATTAGATAAAAGTCTCTACTCTCTTAATACCTAACAATTGGATTAAACTTCATTACCAGTTTCAGAGGAGACAAACCACAATCAAATCAAAGTAACTTCTATAAAGATTTAAGAACCAAATAGTATTTGACTAAATGACCTTTTGAATGAATCCTGCATTGTTGTCTTCTAACAGCTTTATCATAAAGCTCTTACCAATAAAATTGGAAAATTTTGGGGTCTCCTTCAAACTTTTCAACCAGTCATTAACATTCACCATGTTTCCTTCTAGATGAAAACAAAGGAAGTGAAAAACAAACACTGGTAATACAAAAAGACTAATAACCAACATTAAATAAACATTTATGTATTTTTACATAAAAATGTATATCTAAATATTTATGTTTCTTGAACATTTTATTTACAAGATTCTTTGGGTTTACATCCAAACAGTTTGTCTTACTAACCCTGTAAGTTTATAGAAGATTATACTAGTGCTAATTCCATCCATAAAAAACCAAACAGCCAAGAAAAGCCAATAACTATACTTGATCAAAGTTGACAAAGCTAGGATTTCTATTCACAAAACTGGAATTCTTAAGTTGTTCTTCACTCAGTAAATTAAGGTATCTCTGAGCAGAGAGAATTTCAACAACTCCACTCCCCATACACTTTAGACTTGATTGTTTAAACTATATACATATATATATATATATGTATATATATATATATATATATATATATAGCTGCAAAAGAGATAATTTGAAGAGGAAAGTCTCCTTTTCAAATATAATATTTACAATATTTGTTCTTCCATAAGCAAATATCTTACACAATGTTTTTAGTTTTTTAATTATCTTTAAGTAATTATAAAGAAGGGCTTGCACAATTTTTATTGGTATTCTATCAGGAAAAAAATTTTGATTAATAAAATGTTTACCAGAAACAAAATCTGATTGAAGAATATTCTCTGCTTCTTCTTTAGGTGACTTAATCCCAACATTTTTCAAAAAATCTTCCAAGTTCTCCTCAGCTATCATTTCACCTTCAAGTGAATCAAGAGCTAATGCAATCTCCTGTAAGCCTAGAAATTGAAAAGAGATGTTTTATAATTAAATGAATCTGATTTTAAAAATAAAACAAAAAAACAAAAGTTATCATTAAAGATCTTTGTCAGTTGCAGCCCATTTTTTTTATTATTACATCCTGAATTGAGGAATAAGACTAATTCAGCCTTCAAAGAATTCCATGACCAGCACCTCAGTATTAGAAGAGTTCTTGGTTACTCACATTTCTTTGGTACTGATATAAAATCAGCATAATCAAAGTGAGAAATATATAGCTGACTTTTTCCTGGAAATTACAGAAAGTAATTTTTCTATAGGGATTTAATTATAACAAACAAAATTAACTCATTTTGATATAGATAAAAAAATCTAGTCATGAAAAATGTAAATATGATACAAGAGCTCATTCACTTTTTATTTTCAATTTTTCAGAGATTCATTTATACCCTAGCATCTAGAATTTAGCTTCAAGTCCAGTGATGGTTAAGTCAGATAGACTCACATTTATATCTCAGCTTCAGGTTATGTGACCTAGAATTGCATGACCTATACAAATTATTTCTACCTAACCACTCTATAATGCTCATGATGATGGATCTAAAGTGGGAAAATAATTTAATTCACAAGGTTGATGTGGATGATAAGGAATGAAAAGCACTAAAACTTATATTAGACATATAATAAGATCCAATCAATCCAGTATTTATAAAATAAAATTATGATGATTATCAGTAAAGCCAATGAGAATTAGTAAATACCAATCTTACCTTCTTAGCTACCTTAGATCTTGTTTTACCATCTGCTCCCCTAACATCATTGGGAAGTAACTGAAAATACCAATCTGAGCTTTGCCAGCACCTTGAAAACATGTACCAGCTCTGCCTCTTTAACTAAAGCTTGCTTTCCTTGAAAAACAGTTTCCTTGCATAACTATCTTAAATGAAGTTGACTCATCATCCTATGTTAATAGGATCAGGAAGCAGAGAGGCACTTTTCTTGTTGACAGGCAATTACTGTTCCAATTTTTTTTTTTTTTGGGGGTCCGGTCGTGGGGCCTGAACTCTGGGCCTGAGCTCTGTCCCTCAGCTCTTCAGCTCAAGACTAGCACTCTACCACTTGAGCCACAGCCCCACTTCCGGCTTTTCTTTTCTGCTTATGTGGTGCTGAGGAATCGAACCCAGGGCCTCATGCATGCAAGGCAGGCGCTCTACCACTGAGCCACCTTCCCAGCCCCTACTGTTCCAAACCTTAGCCCTTCTCTTTAAGGTTTAGGCCTTCATTCAATGATGTTGTTCTACTATCATCATCATGTATTACTCTGAGGAGTCTGGCATCTCGATATTATCCTCTCTTTACCTTAGACCACATGATAATTTATCAACTGTAGAAATGAACCTAGCCTCACCTTCTCATTCCAAAAAGCCTTTACCTCCCTTCTAAAGTCATCTACAACAATGGCTACCCTACATCTGCTTCTATACCTAGAATTGCCTGTTTCACATCTAAAATCTTAACCACAAGGTCAGACATTGTCAACTTTCTGTGTATATATTGAAGAAAAGCATAGAACTTTATATGACTATTTTCTTGGCTATTCCAACCTCTCCAAAAAATAGCCTGGGTACAGTAAACCTGCTTTATCAGTTACTAACGGAGAGAACATTCTAAAAGCCAAGTTCACATATGCCAGCCAACCTTGCAAGCAGGCTCTTCCAAACAAGACCCCTGGCCCTGCCATATTAACACTTTCTTGCTCAGGTAGCTCAGTTATTATAATTCCTCCTCGTAGTAACTAGCATTATTCTGCACTGGATATCAATGTCATCTCCTTGATCTCTGTGACTGGCTTCCTGTATCCTCTCTCCTTAATATGCAATGACTTAACTTTTTAAAAAAAATTCCTTTTCCGGGCTGGGAAGTTGGCTCAGTGGTAAAGCGCTTGCCTTGCATGCCTGAGGCCCTGGGTTCGATTCCTCAGCACCACATAAGCAAAAAGAAAAAAGCCGGAAGTGGCGCTGTGGCTCAAGTGGTAGAGCGCTAGCCTTGAGCTGAAGAGCTGAGGGACAGCGCCCAGGCCCAGAGTTCAGGCCCCACGACCGGACCCAAAAAAAAAAAAAAAATTCCTTTTCCCTCTTATAAAATATTACTTATCTAAACTTTTGAGCCCTACCTCTGATTTCAGAACTAGAAATAAAATTATAACTACCATTTATTAAACCCACAATATGTTTCTAATACTAGGTTGCATGCTCTATATATGTTACTATTATGTTTGACTCTTTATGAGAAACATAATGTTATTAGCTGAAGGAAATAATAATGGCCCAGAAAGAATGACCACTGTTAAGTGAAAGAAACACAAGGTCATCTCAGTCTAGCCCAAAGCCGATGCTCTATTTCTATGTTTTGTTTCCTACAACAAAGTTTAACTAATATGTTATGCTGATAGCCGTTATATTGACACAGTAATGTAGTTTAACAGAAAGATCATTGAGTACTTTTCTTAAATGAATAGTATTAGGATTTTTACATTCCAGAAAAAAATGAAGTATTGCTATTCCTTTTTATACATAATGATTCTGTACTGATCTCCCTGTCCACTTACTTATGGCGTTTTTTCTTTTCCTAAGAATGTTCACTGGCCCAAGGGTTACTCAAACTCTTATTCAAGTAAATTACCAGAGATGTTAAATTTTAACATATATTCTCCAAACAAAAAGCATACTCCCTCAAAAATACTATCTTCACTTACTTTTTGTCCTGTTTCTTAACTATTAAACAGGGTCAAATACTACACAAATGTCCTAGCACAAATCATAAGAGAGGTAAGCCAAGTTCAGAGACACAAACAGTGCATGTTTTCTCTCATATGCATAAGCTAGATCTAAAATACACTAGGACATGATAATTATACAGGACTCTAGGCATTCACACACAGTGAGACCAAAGGAGGATATTCTTAGGTGGAGGAACACAGAGGCATAATGCCTATGTGCCTCTGATCAAATAATATTTATGGAAATGAACTCCAGGAAATGGAAAAGAAATTTTTTTCTTTGTTGTTGTTTTCTTTTCTTTTCTCTTTGTCTTATTGTTCATTTATCTGTCTTTGGAAGGGTAAAGAGGGTGCAGAAATAGAGGTACAAAGGGTGAAAAATACAGCAGTGTTACTCACTGAAAATGAATTCATTGAAAATGAATTATACAACTTGTAGGTGGAGACAGGAAGGAAAACTTGGAAAAAGTGAGGGAAGGGGTAACATTGTCCAAAAAGAAATGTACTCTTTATCTGAGTTAGATAGCTATAAACCCTCTGCATATCATCTTTATAATAACAATAAAAACATTTTTAAAATACTATAAAAATGTTCTGCAAAAATGTGTGACAACTTTATTTAATGAAGACTAAAAAAAAGTTCATAATGAATTCTCCTAAAGGAAGCAGCAGAAGACTTATGAGAAATTTTATAATAATAGAAAACAATTTATATGATAGATTTCCAAGTCTGAGGCTTAATACCACAGAGAATACTTATATCTGGAAAAAAATTAAAGCCAGTATCTCAGAAATAAAATGTAATTAAAAAGAATTTTTAATAGCACTCTTTTCCACAAAAAGCATTTTTCTCTCTCATTAAAGAAGCTGCCAAATTTAATGAAAATCATGTTTCACTGGTCTGTCTTCAGATCAATGCCAATCTGTTTAACCAGAAATTAGAACCAGAAGTGATAGAAAAAAATCTAATGCAAAAAGAAGTGAATCCAATGAAAGAAAAACAATCTAGTACTTACTTTTTAACCTGGAGGCATCATGCATATTCTTTACTATTTTCTCAAATTCTTTAAGTTGTACTTTGTCATCATCTGTAAGAATAAAATTTTAATAGGTTATCCTACATAGCAAAAGTCAGCTCCAATGAAGCAGTCTGTAAATCTATAAATCTGTAAATCATTTGACATGCTCAGAAATAAATCATATTTCTTTTTCATATTTCTGAATAACCAAAAATAATTTTATAGATTAAGATAATGGACTTTAGGCTTATTTCTCAACTTCCATCAATCAAGAGAAACTATATGTCTATATTCCTAAAATATAGTATAAAGACATAGCCCCAGATTAAACTAAGAGGTACATTTCAGTCCTAATTTAGTCTTTAATTTTAAAAATTCTGTACCTGTTAAGTGTAAAGACTTTTGTCAGTTTCCAATGATTATATCACTCTAATGCTTAACAAATATTTATGCCCATATTTTATACAAGAACACACAAATACCAGATTCGTGTGTCAAAGGGCAATCACAAAAGAAAAAAGTAGCTTTTCTTCCCTATTTGAGAAAAAGAAGCTTATTCCCAAAATTTTAAATTACTGTAAGCTGTGACCAAAAACTAAAACAAAGTATTGCCAGCAAAATACATTTCCAATATATAAAAGACTATTATATATGACTTACTTATATAGCTACAATTAATAATGTTTTACCTTCTATGTATTATTTTAGGGGTTTTTGGAGGAGGTTATTTGGGGTGTGTGTGTGTGTGTGTGTGTGTGTGTGCTAGTCTTGAGGCTTGAACCCAGGGCTTGCACGCTGTCTCCGAGCTTACTTGATCTGCAGCTTCACTTCAGGTTTTTTGGTGTTTAACTGGAAATAAAGTCTCATGGGCTTTCCTTTCTGGACTGGCTTTGAACTGTGATCCTCAGATCTCAGTCTCCTGTATAGCGTAAGCCACCCAAGCTACTATGGGTTTTAAATGAACACTTAAGTTTTCCAATACTATATTATACAGTAAAATTACACATGTCTATTGTTATGTTTTGTCATACTTCTTTTAGTAGCACTTTTCCTAACTACAAAGACTTTGCTCCTGAATCTATAAGTTATCCCAAGTAATGCAATTATAAAATTTCAATAGTCTTTTAACATTTCCTGGTCACCCACTCTATGTTTTCTGGGATAAGCAATTTTCAAAAGGTGACATAATATATAGCCTGAATGGACTCAATGAATATTAATACAGTGATGTTAATATTTTTTCTATAGACCAGTCAAACAATCTGAACTTTCTTTAATTTTCATGTATATATAGACATTTTAACCATGTTGGAACACTATCTAATTGAGACCTGACACCAAAACTAGTAGAAGAAAACACAAAGAAAAAGCTCCCTGACATTTGTCTAGGCAGGAGTTTCTTAGGTAGAACCCCAAGCCACAATCAACTTAAGGAAAAAAAATAAATGAGTGGGACTGTATCAAACTAAGAGGCTTCTTCAGATAAGAAAAAAATTAGAATGAGGAGACAATTCATGAATTGGGAGAAAATAGTTGCAAATTATATACCAAGTAATGAGCTAGAATCTAAAATATATAAAGAACTCAAACTACTTAATAGCAAGAAAACACCCTTAAATTGGGCAAAAGTCTTGAACATTTCTCAAAAGAAGACATACTGCCGGGTGCCAGTGGCTCACACCTGTAATCCTAGCTACTCAGGAGACTGAGATCTGAGGATGGCGGTTCAAAGCCAGCCCGGGCAGGAAACTCCATGACACTCTTATCTACAATAAACCTTCAGAAAATTGGAACTGGTAGGTGCTGTGGCTCTAGCGGTAGAGCACTAGCCTTGAGCTGAAGAGATGAGCAACAGCACCTAGGCCCAGAGTTCAAGCCCAACTACCAACAACAACAACAAAAAAGAAGAAGGAGGAGGAGGGAAGAGGAGGAGGAGGAGAAGGAGAAGGAGAAGAAGGTGACATACTAATTACTAAAATGTTCAATATTTCTAATAAGGAGAAGGAGGAGAAGAAGAAAGCGACATACTAATTACTAAAATGTTCAATATTTCTAATCACAAAAAATGCAAATTAAACCCACAATGAAATAGCACTTCATATTTGTTAGACTGGCTATCATCAAACGCAGAATATAAAATTACATCGTGTGCCTCTTAACTTTAGGTAATACTCACCAACTTTTGCTAGCTTCAGTTCATCTAGAAAGTTATCTTTTTTTAAATTACTATTCACATTTGACAAAGTATTCCACTGATCAGAAATATTCATCAGCTCCTGGCTGAGATTCTGAATATCTTCAGTAACACGAGGCAATTCTAAATAGTGGATAAAAACATAAGTTTTACAACATGCTTATATAAGAAGTCAAAATGTAAACTGTTATTTAGAATAGTCAAGAATTAAGAATTTTGTAGTTAAGAATAACAATAGCATAAGTGAATACCCAACTTTCAAGTATCAAAACAATAAAACATTTAACACAATTTTAATATATCTTTGAGGATTCTAAAATATGTCAAGAAAATAGCGTTTTCTCCATTTCTTTCTCCCAAAATCTTCTCTGCCTCCTTCCTCCCCTTAAATCTAACACTGCAGACAAGAAAAAGCTTTGCTTTATTAGAATTTCAATAGAAAATCTTGTGTTTTAAATAGAAGAGATAAATTATCTTATTAAAAGTTTATGAAAGATCTCTGTGCTATATAAAAAATGGACTCTCTGGAAGATAAGGCAGAAAAACCTGCAGTGACCTGCTGTGACAGAGATGGCAATCAGGAGAACTGAACAAATTCAGCATATATTTTGAAAGAATTTAATGATGAATTGAAAAAGAAGAAAAATATACAAAAATATATATCTTGTATCCTGACTTCTACCTGGTCAGCTAGCAAGGTCACAAACCCTACTTTCTTTCTTTTTTAACATTTTCCCAGAAAATGTTAAAAGACTATAACTACTAGTTATTTCTAGATAATAGGATTTTGAGCATTTTGTGTTACACATGTGAGGACTTTTGTGCTCTTTTATTTAATTAACCTTAATAGACATTTTTTTCTGACAAAAACCAATAAAAAAATCATTATTCAGGGGCTGGGAAGGTGGCTTAGTGGTAGAGTGCTTGCCTTGCATGCATGAGGCCCTGGGTTCGATTCCTCAGCACCACATAAGCAAAAAGAAAAAAGCCAGAAGTGGCGTTATGGCTCAAGTGGTAGAGTGCTAGCCTTGAGCTGAAGAGCTGAAGGACAGCGCCCAGGCCCAGAGTTCAGGCCCCATGACCGGACCCAAAAAAAAAGAAAAAGAAAAGGAAAAAAATCATTATTCAAAGGAAAATAACAAACTGACACATGTGCTAGATGTGTTATCACAATTGCCTGAAAATGTTAACACTTACTATCAGCTTCAGTCATTTCCACAGGCTTTTCCACTTCTGGCTTAGGGAGGTGAATTCCAAACTCTTCAAGAGAAGTATTTACATCCTCACTGTCAACTTTTTCATCTTCAAATTTTTTAACAGCATTAGTGCCATTAGTCAGTACTAAAATAAAGCAGCATACTTGTATTAAATGTAAATCAATCTAGTGCCAGCAGTAACAAAAATAGAAATCATTTCAGAAATGTTATATATTAAAAGCACATAGCCATCATGATTAATAATAGTGAAGATCAGTATGTATCAAAATCAGTCAAAATATTTGTATCTTTTCTCTATAGTTTCTATGCCTAAAATGCACTGATAATATCACAACTAAAAATATATAAAAAATATGAAAAATTCCTAGCTAATTCAACAAATTGAACTCTCTGGTAGTTTATTTTTCATTAGCAGGAAATCTTCAATCTCTAATAACAAGCTGAAATACCAGTCTGTGGAAATATGTAATTCACTTCTTGGTAAATCCCTTTATTTTATCTCCTGTAGATATACATATTATTACTTAGAAACAAAGAAAAACCCATGAAACTCTTATTTTCAATTAACTAGCCAAAAACACAAGTGGAGGCATACATAGCTCAAGTGATAGAACATCATGAATTGAAGCCACTCCTCCAAAAGCTATGCCACAAAGTTTCAGAAGGTGTCCTTTCTACTCTTCACAAGAGCAGCAATATAACAGTGTCTGAGTTGGTAAGTGATTTATTTCATAGGGAAGCATTGAAGAAGTAGATTTGTTTATATTACCTTCAAGAAATTGACACTTAAGTACTTAAGCTACATGCCAAATGTAGCTTTTAACATCAGAGCTTCATCTAGGTATAAAAGGAAGTCTCTTTACTTTTGGATTAATTTTTTTCTTATCTGGAAAATCTTTAGGGAAATCTTTTATCATAGAAATAAACAGAAGAAAGCATAATAGCAAGACAATATCTTTCCTTTCTTATTATAAGCCTTCTGGGAAATTTTTGAGTTATTTGTATAAAAGTAATCATTGCAATGGGCTGGGAAGATGGCTCAGTGGTAGAGCGCTTGCCTTGCATGCCTGAGGCCCTGGGTTCAATTCCTCAGCACCACATAAGCAAAAAGAAAAAAGCCAGAAGTGGTGCTGTGGCTCAAGTGGTAGAGCGCTAGCCTTGAGCTGAAGAGCTGAGGGACAGCACCCAGGCCCAGAGTTCAGGCCCCACGACCGGACCCTCCCCCCCCAAAAAAGTAATCATTGCAAGCAAAAGCTGGATTCTGATGATAGTTGCACAATTTACTAAAAATCAGTGAATAGGTAAGTTATGTAAATTACACTTAAATAAAGCATTTTAAATGTTCTAAAATAAAAGCCATGCCAGTATTTCATTCAAACAGGTTTTATTCAAATAAATCAATCACCTATCAAATCTTAATCAATGTGGCTAATTACATATTGGATCACCTCACTATTATTAGCATTACTAAATATTTATGTACTGGTTTTTAGTTCATAAAATTCAGATGAGACAGCAGGTTCGCTATTATTACTCTGATATACCAAGATTTTTCTTTTTTTGGTTGGTCATGGGGCACTCTGGGCCTGGGCACTGTCCCTAAGCTCTTCAGCTCAAGGCTAGCACTGTACCACTTAAGCCACAGAGCCACTTCCAGCTTTTTCTGCTTATGTGGTACTGAGGAATCAAACCCAGGGCCTCATGCTTGCAAGGCAAGCACTCTACCACTGAGCCACCTTCCCAACCCCCCAAGATTTTTTTTTAAAGTAGTATTTTACTTGCCTATGAATTACAGGAGTTTTAAATAGCTGTCCAAATTGAACTTTATTCTTCCCAACCTAACTATTCTTTCCTTCAAATCATTTTAAAGCAAGTTTCCTACCTACCATCATATTCATGAAAACTTTGTTCCTTGGAGAGAGTTGTAATAAAGTCATCTAAATTCACCAACTCATTTTCTATAAAAATAGAGTAATAGATTATATTTTCCATTGTAATTTGTATAAACAACAAATTCACATGAAAAACCATTTGATTTTTCATTTCATTATCTTATTTCTCCTTCATATACTTTCTCCTAAGAGGTGTCTTTCTAAATTAGGTCAGTTCCTTTTTTTTCAGCAATGACTGAGGCATGTTAGTGCTAAATATAAGTGATACAAAAATAAGTAAGGCACAGACTCTACTTTTTCAGAGTCCAGAGTGCTAACCATTACACGATGGAATCCGATAAGACTCTGCATTTTCAATATCAATAGGTGAAAATAATTCAGGTAGATATAAGTTCTTGATAGGTATGAGAAAAAGAAATGGTTTTCTGTATAGACAATGAAAAGACTCAGGAGTCTATTTCATGCCAGCATGGAAATCCATGCACTATCAATATGCTATCTCTTAAGACACCTTGACAACATTAACCAGCCCTTACTAGGTCTCATATCTATTTTTAGATATAAACCTTCCACAGTAATCTCACAACTCTGAAAAGTAACAAAAGGGATTCAATAATTCTTGTTGTTGTTTGTCATGGGGCTTGAACTCTGGGCCTCAGTTCTTCAGCTCAAGGCTAGTACTCTACCACTTGAGCCACAGTGCCACTTCCAGTTTTCTGAGTGCTTTATTGGAGATAAGAGTCTCAAAGGTTTTCCTGCTCAGGCTGGCTTTGAACTGTGATCTTCAGATCTCAGCCTCCTGAGTAGCTAGGATTACAGGCATGAGCTACTGGTGCCCAGCAAGATTCAATAATTTTATTAGCACCTTCTGTCTCTTCTCTCTCTCTCTCTCTCTCTCTCTCTCTGTGTGTGTGTGTGTGTGTGTGTGTGTGTGTGTGTGTGTGTGTGTGTGTGTGTTGCCAGTCCTGGGGCTTGAACTCAGGGCCTGGGCATTGTCCCTGAGCTTCTTTTGCTCAATGCTAGCACTCTACCACTAGAGCCATAGCTCTACCTCTGGCTTTTTCTGTGTATGTGATACTGAGGAATCAAACCCAGGGCTTCATGCACTCTACCACTAAGCCACATTTCCAGCCTCTCTATATATTTTCAATCAAACTTTTTCTATTTTTCTTAGCTGAGAAATTGTATTGATTCTGAGTCCTTCTTTTCCAAAAATACGTTCTCTTCCCTCTCTTCAACTGAATTTTTGCAATGAATAATTCTAAGTTATTGATAAAAAAAAACAATTTCCCTCATATACAAACTCTCACAAAAACAAACCTCCTTAGAGACAATCTCTAAATCTCCCTAGAGATACTATCTTGAACTTAGACTAATAACTGGAATATGTCATTTAACATCTAGATTTAACATCTTGATTATCACTAACTCTAAATTCCCTCCAATTCTTTCTCCCTGAATCTCTAGGAACTTGATTCAATTTTTTTCTCTTGATGTAATAGAAGATTGAATTCAGGGCATCTCACTCACTCTACAAGTATTCTCCCATTTGAGCCACATTTACAGGTCTTGATAAAAGGGCTTTTTGTTTTGTTTTGTTCTGTTGTGGTATGGTTTGGTTTTTGTGTTTTCTACTAGGGCTTGAACTCTACACACTTGCAATCTTGCTCAGCTTGCCTCTGACTGACAGTCTTATCACTTGAGCTATGCCTCCAGCTTGGCCTTTTGCTTGTTAATTGAAATCTGTTGAGTGGCTGGGATTACAGGCATAAGTCAAAAGCACTTAAATTGATTAGAGATTTTTATACATCTTGGATGCTAGAAAGATAGGAAGAGTCTTACTGGAACAACTTTGTGCTATGAAAAGCCTGTATATTCTAAAACTAGCCCATCTGAATGGTCAGTCTTGATGGTTTGATTTTGTTTGTCTTTTACTACTTTCCATTTTTATTTTTTGTTTGCCAGTCCTGGGGCTTGAACTCAGGGCCTGGACACTGAGCTTGAGCTTCTTTTGCTCAAGGCTAGCACTCTACCACTTGAGCCACAGTACCACTTCCGGTTTTTTCTGGTTATACGGTATTGAGGAATTGAATCCAGGGCTTCATACATGCTAGACAAGCATTCAACAACTAAGCCATATTCCCAGCGCTCTTTTCCATTTTGATATTTTTTTTCTTAATCGTCTTCAGAATGACACATTCTAAAGATATTAACATGAGGAAAATAAGGAGCATGTGGCAATATGTTTAACTATATTATCAAATGTTATGAGTGCAAAGTAATTTATTAAGATGAAAGGCTAGTGTTTTTCAATATAAATCATTGACATGGTCATATTTTATAGATGCCCAATTATCATCAATTGGTTTGGAGAACTCATATCAAATAACTTATTTTATACTTCTCTGTATAAAGAATATAAGTATTGGGCTGGAAAGGTGGCTCAGTGGTAGAATGCTTGCCTTGCATGAATGAAGCCCTGGGTTCGATTCCTCAGCACCACATAAGCACAAAAAGCTGGACGTGGCACTGTGGCTCAAGTGGTAGGGTGCTAGCCCTAAGCTGAAGAGATGAGGGACAGTGCCCAGGACCAGAGTTCAGGCCCCATGACTGACAAAAAAAAAAAAAAGAATGTAAGTATGGTAGTAGTAGCTGACATCATTTGGTTTTAGCAAAACCGGGTAGCTATCACTTTCTTCTGAAGGCCACTTCTACCTACTGGCTAAATGTCCACTAATCTATGGTTTTCTGTCTATCCAGGGCTTACTGTTTCTTATTGAAACACAAAGATCCCTGAGAAATAGAAGGCTCAGAGTAATAGTACCAACTCAGTAAAGAAATAAGAATGAATAGCCCTAACCTTCCCTACCTTCTTTATTCAACTATGTTATTTGGACTATATATCAATGGTACTAATGACTAATTTTTCACTAAACACTCATTTTTAACTCTTACATTAAGTACTAAATGAAAATTTTAAACGTTATGAAATTTCTTTAACAAGACTAGTACTTTTTCCATTAATAGTAAGTTACTTAGGTAATTTCATCAAGAGACTCTAGCAAGTGTTTAACTAGTTCCCATATGCAGTACTTCTGTGTTAGGAGTAGCACAGAAGGGGAGTACATTCATTTATATGAAAAAAATCATTACTCATCTTTGAGTAAGACTATAAATTCTTACAGACCTTAAATATATAGTATTGTTTTCTCATAATATTTTCCACCCATAGGGGACAATATCTAAAGTCCTATGAATATCATTTAAAACATGAAAGTATAAAGAAATATTTCATGAACTTCTTCCACACTTTTAAAATGAATTATAAATATTCACAAATGAAAACAAGCCCTCTTCTTTCTAGGAAACTCGAATAAGCTTCTCAAAGTTAAATTCTTCTCTACCCACCACCCCCTGAAAAAATTGGGGCATCTGGCAAGGAACTAACATCAAAACCACAAGCTAATAGTTATTGGCCTACTGCATCAAAAGTGGTGGTTACTCAGAGAATTAACAGTAGAGATGCTTACAACTATCAAATGACTATTCATTTCTATGATGACTAACGAACTCAAGGACCTAAATTCTGATTTACATGCATAGTACTGACCCAGAGTATTAACTGCAGGTTTTTCCTTAAATGAAATCTGTTTTAGAAGGGTAGAGTGCCTTGTCCTAGCTGGTTTCTGAGGTTTGGAGATGTTAGCAATATCACTTTTTTCCAGAAACTTATTGAGGCTTGTATTACTCCTCAAGCTTTGTGATTTAGATATTGAGTCAGAAGTTTCTTCATTCTCTGAAAGTTTTCTTAAGTCTGTTTCATGTTTTGAATATGGTTCCTGGACTTCTACATGACTGCTGTCAACCACATCTGAAAACTTCCTTGGCTGCAAAGAAACTTTTGGTTCTTTATATTCAGAGTCATCTTTCTCCAAAACATTACTAAAAGATTGGAAGCTTTTTATCTCCAACGTTTTTAATAATGAAGATTCAGATGGTCTTGATGAACTTGATTTCTTCTTATATGGAGCTATATATGATAACCTTTTGTTTGTACCAGTTTCTTTCAAGCCTGAATCTTCCACAGGTGCTAAGGAAAAGAAACATATTCAATTATTTCATTTACTTGTACAATTTGTACTCTATTTCAGAAAAATAACTAAATCTTCATAAAAGCCATTCAAGAAATAGAAGTTGCTTAAATATGTAAAATAAAATTTAAAAGGTTGAAAATTTTCATCAATAAACTACTGACTGGGATAAACAGTCTGATAGTTCCTTATATTTCAATGCTTTCATCCAAAGCTATTTAAAGTTATAGTGAATCTACAATGGTTGCAGTATATTGTTATATTAAATTTTTATCTTTTTAATTTAGCCACTGTTATTCATTCTAAAAGGGGGATCAAGGAGGATATTTTTAATAAGGTTAATAAAATGATAATTCTTAAAATTATAGGCATAGGAAATTGACTGAATGATACGAGGAGGTGTTAAGAATGGTATGCAGAGCAATAAGAAGAGATTTTTTTAATGTACCTATTAGTGAAGAAAAACTAAATGATAAATAAAAATAACTGAAATTTTATTAAAAGATTAATATAAGGATATCAGAATATCCTACAGATTATAAGTGAAATACTATTATCTCCTCCCACAACCGACAAAAAAAAAAAATACTATCTTGTTTAAAAGTTGAATTATCTCTTGATGTGTTAAGAACAAAATAAAAGGAAAAGGATGAAAGTCATATTATAAATCAACTTGTTTGTTAGTTGTGGGGGCTTGAACTCTGGGCCAGAGAGCTGTCCCTCAGCTCTTCAGCTCAAGGTGAGCGCTCTACCACTTGAGCTACAGCACCACTTGCAGTTTTCTGAGTGTTTATTGGAGATAAGAGTTTCATGGACTTTCCTGCCTGGACTGACATTGAACTGCGATCCTCAGATCTCAGCCTCCTGAGTAGCTAGGATTACAAGCGTGAGCCACCAGTGCCCGGCTTATAAATCAACTTTTTTAAAAAGTGTTACATTAAATTTTTATCTCCCTGATTTATAAGTTAGAAAAAAGGACTCAAAATAGATTTCAAAACATATTATAAAGCCAGATACTGGTGGCCTACTGTAATCTGTAATCACTGAGGTTCACAGTTTGCAGCCCTCTGATACAGGAAAGCCTGTGAGAATCTTATCTCCAATCAATCAGCAAAGAGCCAGGAGTAGTTTAAATAGAGCTCAAGAGCTCCACTAGTCTTGAACAAAAAAGCTCAGGGACAGAGCCCAGGCTCTGAGTTTATGCCCCAATAGTGGCACACAAAATAATAATAACAGGGGCTGGGAAGGTGTCTCAGTGGTAGAACGCTTGCCTTGCATGCCTGAGGCCCTGGGTTTGATTCCTCAGCACCACATAAGAAAAAAGAAAAAAGCCGGAAGTGGCACTGTGGCTCAAGTGGTAGAGCGCTAGCCTTGAGCTGAAGAGCTAAGGGACAGCGCCCAGGCCCAGAGTTCAGGCCCCATGACCGGACCCCCCCCCCCAAAAAAAAAAAATAATAATAAAATAATAACAACCCATACTATAAGATAAAACCTATAGTTTTAGGACTTAAAGACAATTTGATTTTTAAAGACAAAACTTGCTATCACAGCAAGAGCTCTCTTACAAACATCTTCATAGAGTTGTTGCAGTTCACCCAAAGTAAACACAATATCTCCAATATCCACCATCTGATTGCCTGTAATAGAAAGAGTAATTTCAAGCACTGCATTTACTTTTTAACAGGTATAGCTGCAGTCTTGTTCTAATATGAAAACAGTACAGAAATGTATGGAATAGAGGCCAGCTGTTATGAGTTTTAAATAATATCTGAAATTGTGAATTAATAGCTCAATTCAGACCTTTAAATTACTACAAAGCAAGTATACACTTGAACCAATCAGAAAAGTGTGAGACCAAATGGATGCCAAATTGTCTTCTACTTAGGAACTGCTTCCTACAGTCTGGTTTCTTATTTCCTTAGAGTTTATCCTCATTCTGTTGTTGATTATGGTTCTCTCATCTCCCTATCTCCCAAGTGAATTCCTGGTTCTTACTGCAGTGATTCCATATCAAATTCCTAGAACACAGACTTCAAGGCTTCAGCCTCCAGAGGTCTGAGATTTGATAACTCAAATATAATTAGTTGAATCATATATTAATCAATGAAGAAAGTTAACTTCAAAGCCACTTCCAGTTTTTTCTGGTAGTTAATTGGAGATAAGAGTCTCACAGACTTTCCTGCCTAAGCTGAATTATGATCCTCAAATATCATTTTCCTGAGTAGCTAGGTATGAGCCACTGGCACCTGACTTTCCCCTGGACTCTTGATCTCATATTATCACCTTATACAGGTACTACCTGTATTTTATTGCTTACCTCAACCAATGATCCCTATCACTTTCAGGTTCCACCAATCTCCTTCCTACACTACTGAGCCATTACCATATACCAAATTCCTATTGTTTTCATCTATAGTTTACTTTTCATTACCCTTCTGTTCAATCTCTTTGTTTTCCTATGGGGTTTAATGAGCATAGTCAAATGTACCTATTAGATGATTTTCATAGTTAAAAGACAAGTACATTCTTATGAGAAATGTTTCCTCATGTTAAAGCCAAGTTATTAATGTGGTAAAAAGAAGAAAAAGTGGAGTAAGATGTTAGACTTACTAATCAACAAATGTTTACTAAGTAGTTACTAGGTAGGATAAGAAGTGTCATAGGGAAAAAAAAGAAGTGTCATAGGTTTTAAGCATACAATATCAAGTCAAAGTAGACTTCATATATTCCTATGTGGTATTTAGTCTCAATTATGATAAAAACACTAAGAAACAATTCAATCCTTTATGTACATGTATGAAAGTGGTTATGATTGGTTTGGGATACAGGAGGAAGAGTTATAGGAGTGATTCTGAACAAAATATATTGTGTGCATAAAAGTATGCATCAAAATGAAACCCTCTTGTACAACTGATGCCAATTTTAAAATTCTAGCCATGCGCCGATAACTCATGCTTGTAATCCTAGCTCCTCAGGAATTTGAGATCTGAGAATCTCTGTTCAAAGCCAGCCCAGGCAGGAAAATTGATGACATTCTTATCTCCAATTTACCACCAGAAAACAGGAAGTATTGCTGTGGTTCAAAGTGATAGAGTGCTAGCCTTGAGCAAAAAAAAGCTCAAGGACAAGGAAGGTGGCTCAGTGGTAGAGCGCTTGCCTTGCATGCATGAGGCCCTGAGTTCGATTCCTCAGCATCACATAAGCAAAAAGAAAAAAAATGGAAGTGGCGCTGTGGTTCAAGTGGTAGAGCGCTAGCCTTGAGCTGAAGAGCTAAGGGACAGCGCCCAGACCCAGAGTTCAGGCCCATGACTAGAGCCCCCCCCCCCCAAAAAAAAAAAAAGCTCAAGGACAGCTCCCAGGCCCTGAGTTCAAGGCCCATGACTGACAAAAAAAATCTAAATACAAATTGTAACTATGATGAGCACTGTAAAGTGCATAACATAACAATGTGAACTTGTATCAGGCACTGGTGGCCTATGCCTGTAATCTTAGTCATTCAGGAGGCTGAGATCAAAGGATTGCAGTTTGAAGCCAGCCAGGGCAAGAAAATCTATGAGACTCTTTTTTTTTTTTTTTTTTGGGTCCGGTCATGGGGCCTGAACTCTGGGCCTGGGCGCTGTCCCTCAGCTCTTCAGCTCAAGGCTAGCGCTCTACCACTTGAGCCACAGCGCCACTTCCGGCTTTTTTTCTTTTTGCTTATGTGGTGCTGAGGAATTGAACCCAGGGCCTCATGCATGCAAGGCAAGCGCTCTACCACTGAGCGACCTTCCCAGCCCATATGAGACTCTTATCTCTGATAAACTACCAAAAACAGCCAGAAGTGGAGCTGTAACTCAAGTAGCAGAGTACTATCCCTGAGCAAAAATACCTCACAGTCATCACCCAGAACCTGAGTTCAAGCCCCAAGACTGGCACCAAAAACAAAACAAAAAGAATGTGAACTCGTCCAAGAGATCAGAGGAAACATGTCTAGAAGTATAGACAGAGCTTATTTCTAAAGTATAAATAGGAATTAATTAGGAGGAATGTTCATAGAAAAGAACATATATAATGTCTATTGGGCAGAATGAGGTCTAGTTGGAAGTAAAAAGGCACAGGAAGCAAGGGAGAAATGTGCTCTGGAATAAAACTGAACATCTGAAGGAAGGCTAGATCATACAAAACCTTGTATACCACCTTATGGGTTCTTGGGCACAAGGACTGTTATTTGGTTTTATGCAAGGAGAGTAACAATTATTAGATCTATGTTTTGCACCATTTTTTTACAATTAAAGGGGATAGATACTTGTCTGGTTAAACTGCAATGGTTCCAAGGAAAGGTTACGTTAACTATAACTGAGGTGGGAAAATAGAAACAGAAAGATATAAAAGGAGTTTAAAAGGAGAGAACTTTCTAGTGATAACATGAAGAGAAGAAAGAAATGGAGTTGTCAGGAATGATTCTGATGTTTCTTTCCTCACCTTTCCTGAGCCTGTTCACAGTGACAATCACTGGGATAGATGTTTATGTCTAATTCCTAAATCATCCTATGAGGTTGGTATCCTTTGTCCAATCAACTTCACCAAACAAAGAAGTAAGCCGGAAAGCAAGATTATATAATGGCTTCACATATAATTTCTCTTCTTTACCTAGCAAGGTATGCCTTAGAGACCATTTACTGAACTGGGCATCTGTAGTTCACACCTGTAATCCCAGCTACTCAGGAGGGAGGCTTAGATCTGAGGATTGTGGTGCAAAGTCAATCCCAGGCAGGAAATCTGTGAAGACTCATTTCCAATTAACCACTAGAAAACTGGAAATGGTGCTATGGCTCAAATGGTAGAGTGCTAGCCTTGAGCACAAAGAAGCTCAGGGACAGTGCCCAGGCCCTGATTTCAAGCCCCATGAGTAACAACAAGACTGTTTGCTGTATGCCTTAACTCCAGTATATCCCTCCAGGATATCCCTCATATCTACCATACTAAAGCCCAACCTAACAGAATTCTGTGCAGACTTTGTCTATCTCCACACCATGTTAGTGCCCAATGCCCACTACAAAGCCATCGCTAAAGAATGAAAAGAAAAAGAAATATTAAAGACAACTAGAACAGATGTTATATCCAATTACTTTTCTGCCATATTTATACAAACTGTTACCTCAGCCTAAAATTTCTTTCTTTTCCTCTGCCACCACCTTCATCCAATTAACCCCTAGCTAGTTCTTCAAGATCGAATTCAAATTGCACCTTTGCTGATAATCTTTCCCTGTTTCTTCCAATATGCAAAAGCAGCCTGCATACACTCCAGTACTTGCCACAGAATATTATAATTTTCTGGAAAGCAGTGTAGAGGTTCCTCCAAAGACTAAACATAGAGCTCCCCTATGACCCAGCAATCCCACTTCTGGGCATTTACCCAAATGACCACAAACAAGGCCATACTAAAGCTACCAGCACAACCATGTTTATTGCAGTATTATTTACCATAGCTAAGATATGCAACCAACCCATATGCCCCTCAGTAGATGAATGGATCAAGAAAATGTAGCATATATATACACAATGGAATTCTATGCTTCCATCAGAAAGAATGACATCACCCCATTCATAAGGAAATGGAAAGACTTAGGAAAATTCAAATTAAGTGAAGTAAGCCATACCCAAAGAAACATATATTCCATGGTTTCCCTCATTTGTAATAATTAGTATATGTCTAGGATAATCCTAGTAGATGCACAGAATAGCTCAATAGCTAGGACATATAACTATATAAAATGATGCTAAGTGAAATCAACTCCAAGACATGAAAACAAGAGGTTTTCCTTGGTGGGTGTTATTTTTAATATACTATGTAATTTCTTTTTTCTTTTGTGTTTTTTTCCCGATGGTTTATCCCTTGTTGTCACTATATTTGTTTTTGGTGCCCTGGGTATTATATACACATTTATCTGAATTAGGGAAAGGAAGGGGAACAACAAAATGGTGCGACAAATGACATAGGGCAAACCAAGGCAACAGTAATATTCACAAGACAATATGTTGGAAATTAATTGTACAACTGGGTGGGGGGAAACAAGGAGGAGGAAAGTAGGAGAAAAATAGGGAGATGGTAACAAGTTTGACAAGAAATGTACTCACTTATGTATGTAACTGTAACATCACCTTAACAATAAAATTAAATTTAAAAAAAATAAATAATTTTTAGCCGGGTGCCGGTGGCTCACGCCTGTAATTCTAGCTACTCAGGAAGCTGAGATCTGAGGATTGCGGTTCAAAGCCAGCCCGGACAGGAAACTCCATGAGACTCATCTCCAATAAACCACCAGAAAACCAGAAGTGGCGCTGTAGTTCAAGTGGTAGAGTGCTCGCCTTGAGCTGAAGAGCACAGGGACAGGGCCCAAGCCCAGAGTTCAAGCCCCATGACCAAAAAAATAAATAAATAATTTTCTTAATTGACTCTTTCCACATAAGGATGGGAGCTCTCCTAAAACAAGAACTGTTTTTCATCTTCATTTCCCCTATTATAGATTATGGCATAGTAAATACAAAATGACCATCAGAATCATTAAATGAATGAATAGCCAACCCCTAATCGATCCATTAGTGATTATTAGTAGGTCATCCCATGGTCAAATGTAAACACATAAGAAAAATATCTGCAAAATATATCTATAATGTTTTTTCTATAATGTGTTAAAGTTGTCTATATTGAACAGAGAGTAACTACACACTAGAACAACATCTTTAAATCAAAATAACATAATAAAACTGAGAAGTCAAGAAATTTCAACATCCTAACTTGGGAAGCCGAGGCCCTTTTTTTGATACTATAAGAAACTGCCCTTCTATAAAGATAAGAAATGACTATTAGGAGAGAGATGAGGATGAATTTTCTTTTAAATCTATTGCACTCTTTGACTTTTGCCAAACATAAGATGATTTTAGAAGTTTCTCATTTAAGTTTTTCTAGATTTTCCTTACTATAAACACTGATAAGCCAGGCCCCGGAGGTTCACACCTGTAATCCTAGCTACCCAGGAGGCTGAGATCTGAGGATCGCAGTTCAAAGCCAGTCTGGGCAAGGAAGTCAGTGAGACTCATCTCCAATAAACCACCAGAAAACTGGAAGTGGCACTGTGGCTCAAGTAGTAGAGCACTCGCCTTGAGCTGAAGAGCTGAGGGACAGCACCCAAGCCCAGAGTTCAAGCCCCACTACCACAAACAATAAAAAACACTGATAAGCTATGGCAGTGGCAACAGGTAAGAATCAAGGAGGAAAAGACATTGAGGTAAAGGAAGAATCACAAAAAGTTATATTCAAAATTGAAATAACTCACGGTCTGTATAAGTATATTTTAACACATCATGAATTGTTTCTGGACTTGTATGAATATCCAGACTATCCAAAACAGCATCCACTTCATCAGTGGAAACTCGACCACCTTTCATTTTGGAAAAAATCTTCAAGGCATTCTGGAATGCTAAAATAAACAAACAAACATACTATGAGAATCAAGAACTTTTCCTGATTTTGGGTCAACCAACATTTACGAAATAATCTTACACAGGCATGGGGGTTTTCAAAATGTCTAACGACAACAAAGCTTTTGCACAATTCTGGCCACATTTCTTTTTTTTTTTTGGGTCCGGTCGTGGGGGCCTGAACTCTGGGTGTAGGCGCTGTCCCTCAGCTCTTCAGCACCACTTCTGGCTTTTTTCTTTTTGCTTCTGTGGTGCTGAGGAATCAAACCCAGGGCCTCAGGCATGCAAGGCAAGCCCTCTACCACTGAGCCAACTTCCCAGCCCCTCTGGCCACATTTCTTACATAAATTCTAATTCTTGCCCTTATTGCTGCTAAAGTAATAGTAATAAAGTAATAAATACCATCACTGGTATTTATTGAATACTGATCATTAGTTAAGCTCTGTACTATCTCATTTATTCTTCACAATAGAGTTATAAAGTAGAAAAGACATAAGCTAATATATCAATCTCACCCTAAAATTAACTATTATCAATATCATTCAAGTGTATACTTTTGAAGAATATTATTTATTTATTAACTTATTTATTTATTGCTAGTCCTGGGCTTGAACTCAGGGCATGGGCCTGACCCTAAGCCTCTCTGTGCTCAAGGCTAGTAGTGCTCTACCATTGAGCCACAGCACCACTTCTGGCTTCTTCTGTTTATGTGGTACTGAGGAATCGAACCCATGGCTTCATGCTTGCTAGGCAGGCACTGTACCAGTGAGCCACATTTCCAGCCCAGAATATCACTTACCTGGATCCTGAGAAACCATACTGGAAACACTATGCAAAGCTTTCAGGAAATTTGAAAGCTCCAACATTCCATTAACTGTAAAAATGGTTCAGAAACAGAAGGGAAAAAATTCCATCAGCAAAATAGGTCAATGGACTCACCAAGAACATAAGTCAAAAACAGCAAGCTAAGCATGTAAATAGAATCCATTGATACTATAATATCTCTCCTTAAATAAGTACACATAATATTGTGCTATATTAAAACATTATTTACCAAAACCCCCCATTTTTAATGTAAAATTTAATGGCAGAGAAAAAATAATGGCCACTGTTTTGTAAAAGATTTTTTTAAAGAAATCTATGTTGTACAAATAATGATTTAATCAGAAATTTTGTTTGACTTGAAGAAAGACTTGAAAATCAGAGTGGTGTTTAGAATTAGAAATGAAAATACCATCTTTGATAACTAGAACTGAAAATCTTGATTCACAAGATCAACCAAAGCACAGAATCAGGGTTTACAAATCTCATTTTCTGAACAAACATAAATAAACATCTCAATTTTTCAATTTTCCTCAAGTTATGATTTTGGTTTTCTTTTTTTGGGGGGGGGAGGGTCCAGTTGTGGGGCCTGAACTCTGGGCCTGGGCGCTGTCCCTCAGCTCTTCAGCTCAAGGCTAGCGCTCTACCACTTGAGCCACAGCGCCACTTCCGGCTTTTTTCTTTTTGCTTATGTGGTGCTGAGGAATGGAACCCAGGGCCTCAGGCATGCAAGGCAAGCGCTCTACCACTGAGCCACCTTCCCAGCCCCTGATTTTAGTTTTCTTAAATTTTTAATTTTAAGCAAATGAGGCTAACTTTGACAGGGTTTGCACCACTGATACTATCTATGTCAAGAATAAAATAAATCCACATTTTTGTTAAATGTTATCTGAACAGACATATAACATGTAAATGCTTCCAGCTGTCAGAAGTCTTCTTCTATCTGAAGACAAAATGACAGTTTGTCAAGTTATCCATCTCCAAAGGTCTTCAGCATAACAACTTGAAATTGGGCTCTTCTTTATATCAAAAACATTGAAACATTTTCCATGTTAATCAATTTCTTTGACTTCTTTTCTGACTTCCTTGTGATTTGGGGGTTATGTAAAAAGAACTTTGCACCTTTTTTTAATGTTACAGATAGAAACTATCATGAGAAATTATCACTATCTCATTACAATCATAACAGCATCATAGTCAAAAAGCAAGTAGTACTAGAACTAGTAGGCATCCAGAGGTTCCTCTACTTAAATACTCAAAGAAATACATTTACTAACTTTTCTCTCCTTTAAAATGTTTTTCAATTCAGGCACTGGTGAATCAAGCCTGGATTTCTTTCTTTCTTTCTTTCTTTTTTTTGGGGGTCCGGTCATGGGGCCTGAACTCTGGACCTGGGCGCTGTCCCTCAGCTCTTCAGCTCAAGGCTAGCACTTTACCACTTGAGCCACGTGCTACTTCCGGTTTTTATTTTCTTTTTGCTTATGTGGTACTGAGGAATTGAACTCAGGGCCAGGCATGCAAGGCAAGTGCTCTACCACTGAGGCACCTTCCCAGCCCCTCAAGCCTGTATTTCTAACTACTCAGGAGAAGGTAATCCAGAGGATTGTGATTCAAAGCCAACCCAGGCAGAAAAATTGATGTGACTCTGTATCCAAAATAACTAGCAAGTCATGCTGAGTCAGGCACCAGTGGCTCATTCCTATAACCCTAGCTACTCGGGAGGCTGAGACCTAAGGATTGCAACTCAAAGCCAGCCTGTGCAGAAAAGATCCCATGAGATTCTTTATCTCCAATAAAAACCACTCAAAAATCAGAAGTGGCACTGTGGCTCAAGTGGTAGAGTGCTAGCCTTGAGCGCAAAGAGACTCAGGGACAGCACCCAAGCCTGAGTGCAAGCCCCATAATGGACAAAGAGGAAAAAAAAAAAAGAAGTCAGGCTGGTAGAATGCAAGCAAGCAAGCATGCATGCCAGGTGAGCATAAATGCTTGAATTCAACCACTGGTACCAGAAAAGAAAAAAAAAACAAAACATTTTAATACCAAGAATTCTGGATTTTACAGACATTTAGTTTCAATTTCCTTTCTTTTATCAAAGCTACAAAAGTAAATCAACATTTTCAGGTCATATGAATAAGGTCTTTCCAAACAAGTATAAGCTGTATACTTGCTAAACATTCTTGTATGGCATTAAAAGATAAGGTGTGTTTTAAGAAAATCCAAGTCTGGAACTTTCTATATCGGTGAAAATTATTGTCAAAGTCCTACTTTTCCTTTTGGGTGGTTAAGTCAGATATTACCACATTATTAAATAACATTATGTAACTAAACAATGATTTGTACAAGTCAATGATGAGAATATATCACAACCCAACCTAGTAGTCAATCTAATTGTATAACCCAAAGCTCAGTTTTTAACATCATTGCCAGAAACAATGTGCTTATAAATACAGGACAAAAATGATGCTTTGTTTAAAATTATAGGATTACATAATTTTCAATTAATCTCACAAATATAATTTAAATTCATGTTTTCAAGACCCTTAAACTAATAATGAAAACATAATACTTACCATCAATATCAATAACCTTTAGTGCCCGTCGTATTTCTGAGTCATTCATGGAAACCTTTAAAGTGTTTAGGACCATTGGCAGATCATTCACATAAATCTTACCACCTCGAACTTTACCAAAAATTTTGCAGGCTTTATGAATTGCTGTATACATATCACAAAACATTGAGTTAATGCAAAGGAATAACTGTTGCTACTACCCTCACCTGCTCATAAGAGAAAACAATAATCATTAAAAGAAAGGGGAGTAAGTTTCTGTTTTCTAGACTGACTACTTTAAAATCTATCTGATAATTTATTTTTTATGTCAGGAGCCAGTGAGAAAAGTCAGAAAAGTCATGCAGTGGTCACACAGGAAAGACAACTTTTCCTACAACTGGGAAACCCTTCCTATGTGGTCTTTTAACACTCATTGTGCATCTCAGCCAAAACTCTTGGCAGTCACCTGCTTCTAAGAAGGAAAAAATTCCATTTCCCTAATTTCCAGAGCTATTTTAGAATAGATTCTTGAAAAACATTTGGTGAAATGATTTTGGTTTAGTTCAATTACAATTACATTTTTATTTTCAGAAAAGATAAATAGTCATGTAAGGTGGCAGAGACAGGATGCCCATGAGTTCTAAGTCTTCATCCAGTTGGATGCTAAAGATACCTAATATGAACCATAGAGAAAAATCACTCCAAAATACAAAGTAGAAGAGCACATTATGGGAAGTCAATGCCAAGAAGGAGTAGAAGGTGACATAAACTCTGATATTAAGCTTCCAAGGTCTATGTTCCCATGAAACCAGGGACTTGAGTGCTTACTAGTTTATCCATTATTTACAATCTCAGCTTTAAAAAAATAAGCAAACATGTTGCTGTACAAGTGTGTCTGTGGATATTGTATTTTCCAATCCTACCAATACTATGAAGCAATGTATGAAACATCAGCTTTTGTTTCCTCATGGCCAACAATATTTCCATAGTATTCATGTAATATTATTAAACTACTGGGATACCAGTAAACTACTGGGAGTAGAGGACTGCTGAAACATCACATAATCAAGAAACATTCCAGGAATTCTAGAACCTCTAAACCAGGAGTAAAGACACATGTCTATAATCTCAGCCAGCCTGGGCTACCTATTGAGAGATTCTATCAAAAGAAGGAAGAAAAGGAGAGAGGGAGGAAAAGGGAGGGAGAGAAGGATTGATTCTAGAGCCTCCTATTACCATTTAAATCTTCTTTGACAGGTACTTCAGGTACTTCTTCATATAGTGTCATGTAGAGATTAGATAATGATTCCTTTTTCCTTTCAAAGAAATGGCCATGTTAGAAAGCAGCAAAGAAAATATTTTAAATCTTAATGAAAAATATTGGCAAACCTATCAATAACCTGAAGTTTATAAGAACCTTCTCCCAAAGAAATTTCAAGTGATAAGGAGCTCCATATTCTTCACTCCTGAATTCCTACTTTATTTTTTTAGACAATGCATCTGTATGGGGTAGAATCTATTCTAGTGAGTAAACAAGTGCCTCCAATTTACCCCTTGTGGTCCGATTTCCCTACTCAATACAAGCTATAGCAATTCAAAGAAAGTTACTATAAGTTAAATAAAAAGATCTTGAAACAACCAAAGAAGTCCAGATTCTATCACCTTTCACTAAAAAGTCTCAAATAAAATGATTCATCTGATGCTATAATAGGTAAACAATTGAAATCATGTAAGAATTCACAAAAAACCATGTGCCAGTGGCTCATGCCTGTACTCCTAGTCACTCAGAAGGAGACAGGAAGGACTGTGGTTAGAGGCTAGCTCTGGCAAAAGTTCTCAAGACCCCACACCTCAACCAATACCTAGACACAATCCTATGAACCTATCATCCTAGCTACTTAGAAAGCTAAGATCAAGAGGATTGTGGTTCTAGACCAGCCCAACCCCCACCCAAAAAAAATGTTTGTGAAAGTCCTTCTCAAAAGAAAAAAACTTGATGGGGTGGCATATGCAAGTCATCCCAGTTACAGCAGCAAGTATAAAATAGGATGAATGTGGTCCAAGCCAGCATGGTAGAGGAGGGAGAATCAAAGTCTCAAACATAACCAGGGCAAAAGGGCTAGAGACATGCTCCAAAATGTAGAGCCAGCCAGGTGCCTATGGCTCACATCTGTAATCCTAGCTACTCAGGAGGCTAAGAGCTGAGAATCATGGTTCAAAGCCAGCCCAAGCAGGAAAGCCTATGAGACTCTTATCTCTAATTAAGAAGAGGTGGAGTAGAACTATGGCTCAAATGGTAGAGCACCAGCTTTGAACAAAAAGGCTAAGGGACAGTACCTAGGCCATGAGTTCAAGCTCCAGTACCAGTGCGAAGAAAAAATAAATAAAAAGTAGAGCATCTGCCTAGCAAGTGTAAAAACTCTGAGTTCAGATCCAGAAATGTCTTTTAAAAAATTCATGTAGAACAAAATTGTTATACAGAAGTAGAACATGAGACCCAAAATAGGAAGTAAACTTTACAAGTGAGCAAACTACAAGGTCAGATCAATTGGAAGCCAATTCCATGTAGAGTGTTCTTACCTCTCTACATAGTCCTTTCTATCTACATAGTCTCTTAATTCATACAAATAATTTGACATTCTGTAATTAAAAGGGATAAATACCACTGGAGAAAATCCCAACTTTGGGCCCAAAATTCAAAGAACAGAATACAAAGATTTAAATACCAAGTACTTGTGGAAGATTTACGAGGAGGTAAGGAAGACTTGGGAGCAACAAGCTGATCTGGCAATTTGCATGAAGTACTTTCTTTCCCGGTCATCTCCTTTGATGGCTTCAGAGGAAGAGAGGCAATCTAGAGAAAAATGCAAATATGCTTGTGCTTGAGATCACAGTGGGAATCCACCATCCTTGGACAGTAGTCATTCTTTGGGTCTTTACTTAGTTATTCATCTGATGAAACTGTTTTTTGTAATTAAACTACTTTTTTATACACTGAAATTTAAAATAAGCTATATACAATGTTCATTTGCAGCATCATTTTTCTTAAATTGACAGCTAAGTATCACCTAATTAAAAACATGTCCCTTCATAATAATGAATTTTACAGAACAGGAAACATTTATAATAAAGCAAGAGATGATTCTGCACCCAGACTAGGCTATTGGTTCCAACAGCACATGCAAAATAATGTAGCAAAACATCACAGTTATTTAAATGATGCAGGTAATTTTGTTTTATTTGATTTGTTTTATTTGCTTATTTATTTTATTTATCCACTTAACATTGCATATATAAACATGATTCAAAAATGTACAAACAGCTAGGTAGAGAGAAAAGTACCACTTTAGAAAATGGTGACTCTACTTAGAGGTGTCTTTAATTTTACATGGAACCTAGAGCCTTGAATTTTATAGACTCTACAGACTGTGGACAGAAAATTTTCAAGTAACTGAAGAATGTCAAGAATTGATATTGAAATCTCATGTAAAGCCAAAATCTTCAAAAAGCAATGCATTCAGCAAGAATAGGCTAGATTAAACAAACTCACCTCCAATTTAGGAATACGAAGAGCAACCTCTCTCTGTGTCCCAACTCCGAGCTATTAAAAAATAAAAAAGAGAAAGAAGGGTTACTATCCCTGATTAGTTATAAGCATATATTGAATTCATATATATACTAAATATATGGTCCAGGAAAATAACTCACAAATTCATTTTAAGTGGTCCCAGATTTGTTCATGACAAAAGCAAATGCAAATTCCTCTTGAAAAAAAAAATCTCTTAGAGGAAGAAAAAAACACCAGATTCCCACAAATGTAGATCAACAATATATGAAAGAATGAATAAAACATACAAAACACTCAGGGATACAAGTTAACATGGATAAGAACCAAGTAAGATTTAGTCCACCTGCCCCACTCAGAGACTCCATATAATTAGTTTATCAGATATTGGTCTGGAAATGGAAAATGAGCAAAGAACATAGTACTATAAGTCAGACATATATTTATATATTCATTGAAAATACTGAATGCTGAAATCCCATGTAAATCCCATTCAATTCATTAAAATCTCAATGGCTAGGTTAAAGTTGCAGATTAAATTTAGCTGAATAAATAAAATGAGTTTAAAAATACCAAAACCGCCGGGCACTAGTGGCTCATGCCTGTAATCCCAGCTACTCAGGAGGCTGAGATCTGAGGATCACGGTTCAAAGCCAGTCCCAGACAGGAAAGGCTTTAAGACTCTTATCTCCAATAAACCACCAGAAAACCAGAAGTGGTGCTGTAGCTAAAGTGGTAGAGTGCTAGCCTTGAGCTGAAGAGCTGAGGGACAGCTCCCAGGCCCAGAGTTCAAGCCCCATAACTGACATACATACATACATACATAAATTTTTAAAAAATACCAAAACCAATATAAAGAGAGAAATGGATGAAGCAATGTTGCAGTGGGTAGTGTTCTCCAACAGCTTGATTCACGGGGCAGCACTACTGGGAAGCACTGGAACCTTTGAGAGGCAGAACCAAATGGGAGGTCCCTATGACACTGTGGAGTGACTTTGAAGAGGACTAGGAGATCCCTCATATCTTCTTGTCACGCTGGATACTTCTTGGCTCATAAAGCAGGAAGTTTGCTCTGTCATGTGCTCCTGCTATGATGGCCTGCCAAAAACTGGAGCCATTGATCTTGGACTGGAACCTCCAGAACTGAGCCAAAATAAAGCTTTCCTCCTTATGAAGTAATTGCCCCAGGTATTTTATGGCAGAAGCTAATACAGAACAGAAAGTTCTGCTACACATCTAAAAGAAAAGAACAATAGAGATGAGGGGGAAGAAATATTCTAAAAAATAATGTATCAAAATGTTCCACAGTTGAAGAAAGATATTGATTCTCAGATTCAGGAAGCACACAAATATTAATACAAGAGAAATTAAAACAAATATATACCAAACACCAAAATATATACCACTATATCACAGTGAATGTAGTAGATGGAATAGTGGATCCACTCCAATAATACCTACAACTAGGAAATGGAAACTGTTATTACAATCAAGTTAACAATCACAAGATGAGATACCCAAGGACAGATGTGTTTATAATAAGGAAAAATGTTGGCAGATAGCACAGTAGAATATATGTACGTGATGTATATGAATATATGTGGGAAAAGAGAGAAAAGAATGTAAATCTAAGAAAGAATTCCTCGTCCTTTTCATAGAAAAAGGAAAACCAGCCAGGTGCGATGGTATACTCCTAGGCACTCAGGAAGGCTGAGGAGAGGAGGATAATCTGAGTCTAGAAGTTTGGTGGCACCTTGGGCAACACAGAAAAAGTGTGTGAATGGAAGAAATACAGAAGGGAAGAAGGGAGGGAGGGAGGGAGGGAGGAAGGAAGGAAGGAAGGAAGGAAGGAAGGAAGGAAGGAAGGGGGGGAGGGAGGGAGCGAGGGAGGGAGGGAGGGAGAGGAGGGAGGGAAGGAGGGGAGGGGAGGGAGGGAGGGAGGGACAGACGGAAGATAGGTTTGAACAAAAATGTACACTAGATTCAGGGCACCGTCATCAAATACAGTGAAAATAGGGGTTATACCGTAGGGGAGGAACATACAAAAACAAAAAAAAAAATCACATGGTACATTATAAATACTTTAGAAACAATAGCAAGAAAGAAAAAACCACTTGTGTCCTTATCTTGGGGTTCATTTCGCTTAACATCATCTTATGTGGTCAGATGTACATAGCTTTTCACCTTTTCTGCTTGTCCCAGACATATACTAATTATAACCCCTGTTTTCACTGTATTTGATGTTAGTGCCCTGCATCTTGTATATATACATCTCTAATTTGAGGAGGGGAAGGGAAAAAACACAATGCTTAAATAGGATACAGGTTGACGCATTGTAACAATGAGCTGTACAAGACACTATGTTGAAAAGGAACTTTACAATTTAGGTGGGGGAGTTGTAGTTGTGGAGGTGGGAGGCAAGGGATGGTAGGGGAAAAACAAAGGAGGAGGCAACAATGCTTGATAGGAAATGTACTCATTACCTTGCTCATGTAACTGTAACCCCTCTGTACAGTATTTTTACAATTAAAAAAGTATTAAAATAAAAAATAAAAAATGTACACAAATATTTTAAGACCTAAGCACAACGTTTGAAGAAGAAAGGAAAATTTCTAAATCTTAATTTACCTCAGATTTTCTACTATGCAGGTGTACTTGTAAAATTTTCTTTTTCTTGACTGTTTTCCCTCCTGAAAAATCAGAGGATTTTTCTTCTCTACTTAGGAATACTGATGTTTCATACCTAAATGGCACAAAAATTTGAGTAATTCTTGAGTTTTCCTTGTTTTTTCTTTTCAACTCAATTATGAAAATTTTCAAATATATATAAAAAAGCAGACAGAACAATATTGTTTTATCTTTATTTACTCATCACTCAGCTTCACTAATGACCAGTTTCATTCCACCTATATCTTTATCCCTATCCTTTATCATTTTGAGGCAAATCTCATAACCATATTTTTCATCTGTAAAGATTTTAATACACATCTCTAGAAGGCTTTTTTAAATATCTTAAATACCTCATGACACTTAAATAAATTAATAGGAATTTTAATTACCACCAGATACTTAATCAATGTTCAAGTTTCCAGCTATCAAATGCCAGAAAATGTTTTGACATTTTGCACCAGATTCAATAACTTTTCCATAACACACTTGACTGGTTGGTCTTTTAAGTCACTTTTCATCTATATTGCTTCTTCTTCTATGTTATTATTGTTATTATCAGGTTATCTGTACTATAGATTTTTCCAGTGTGGGTTTTGTTGACAATTTCACCGTGGTTTTAAGATTCTAGCTGAGTCCTGGTGGCTCACGCCTATAATCCTAGCTACTCAGGAGGCTGAGATCTGAGGAACATGGTTCAAAGCCAGCCCGGGCAAGAAAGTCCATAAGACCCCAGGCAAGAAAGTCCATGAAACTCTTATCTCCAATAAACCACTACAAAACCAGAAGTGGTGCTATGGCTCAAGTGGTAGAGCATTTGCCTTGAGCTGAAGAGCTGAGGGACTGTGCTCAGGCCCAGAGTTCAAGCCCCACAACCGACAAAAAAAAAAAAATTCTAAAGAGTTGTCTGGTTAGTTAACCATTTTATATCCCTTACCCACTCACAGATATACCTATAGACATTGAGTCTCAAGCTTATTCAAGACTTTCACTATATTACCTGACTTTTGATCTTTTATCATTTTAAAGTATAATTACATTTTTAAATTATAAACTGCTTCAAACATTTTATGGGATAGGAGTAGTTTTATACCAAAACTTATTATTTATTACATAAATCATGAATAAATAAAAACATACTTCCTTTATCTCATTCCTTTGCATCTCTCAGGGTGCTAACCTATTTTGAACAATGCTAAAGAAAAAAGATGAGGAGAAATTTCCAGTAATTCCAGTCTCCTTCTTAGTTAACAAGCCATGAAACTGGTATTTATTTAGGAAAAAAATGAGATAAATCCTGAATTCTTTCCAAAAACTTTTTAATCAATATTTTGTATTTATCCTAGGTATTAATGAAATGCTATAATTTCTTCTAAAACTTAAAAAATGGTAATCAGGCCATATAATTCATGGGAAAAAAACCACTGACATGAGAATAAAATAACTGAATTTCATGGAAATCATAAACCCAAGCACAGATGGAAGAATCCTTCCATTCTCTTACTAAATTCTCTCTGAGACAAACTTATAGCCCTCCACAGTTGCCCTCCTCCAATTGGCATTTTATAATAGTTTACAGACTTCCAGGGCTGTGACAGAATGAGACAAAGCATAAGAATGTCTGTGTATGAGTTAAAACTCCACTCCTGAAAGAATGACCACAATATGGGTGATCCTATACACATTATACATGAAAATACATAAACTGCATTTGTGGCATACATGAAAAAGCACACTTTGATAAAGTAAGTTCAAGAAGATAATTGTACCAGTTGTGGGGCTTGAATTCAAGGCCTGGGCACTTTCCCTGAAGTCAAAATTAGTGCTCTACCACTTGTGCCCCATCTCCACTTCTGGCTTTTTGATGGTTAATTGGAGATGAGAGTTTCAGAACTTTCCTTCCTTCCCAGTTGGCTTCAAACCATAATCCTTAATCTCAGCCTCCCAAATAGCTAGAATTACAATAAGCTTGAGCCACCAGCAACCAGCAAGTTCAGAATTTTTAACTTACCTTCTCTTATGATCTGGGCTCAAATCCGTAGTTCTTGAAGTTCTCTTCTCTATTATTCCAGAAATTGTGATACATTTCTTGCTTTCATTACTTTTTGGTGCATTACTTTTAACTTCCTTGTTTGATGAGTCAATAGTTTCTTCTCTCTGCAAACCAAAAGAACGGTCATTCATGTTCTCTTTGCACATACACATTAAATGTAACATTCTAGCTGGGAGCTAGTGGCTCACACCTGTAATCCTAGCTACTCAGGAGGCTGAGATCTGAGGATCGTGGTTCAAAGCTAGCCAGGGAAGGAAAGTCTGTGAGACTCTTAATTAATCCAGAAAACCAAAAGTGAGACTATGGCTCAAAGTGGTAGAGAGCTAGCTTTGAGCAAAATGAGCTCAGAGACAGTGACCAGACCAATTCAAGTCCCACAACTTACCAAAAAAAAAAAAAAAGGCATAGTTCATGAAAGTAAAAACTGATAGGCTAGGCTTTTTTTTTAATTAAAAACTTCTAATGAGGGAACCACCACCTGCCCCGGGGGTCCTTTTTTATTTTCTGAAAATCACTCTTGGGACTGCCGTCCTCGCTGCTGGGGGCAAATGCCCCAGCCCCTGCACCACCCCTGCTGCAGCCTGGGCAGGGGGAAGGGGGGAACGGTGCCTGTAATTATTAAACATGAATTCAATTTAAAAAAAAAACTTCTAATGGGGAAAGACACCATCAAGAGAATGAGAGGACAAATCATACATTGGTTGAAAATACTTGCAAAAAATACATTTGATAAAGTACTATTACCTAAAGTATATAAAGAAATATCAAAATACAACAACAAGAAAAAGAACTACCCAACTTAAACTCATTTATTGTTTGGAATGCAAAATGGCAACAAAAAAATTCCACCATATACTACAGGAACTCTTTTCATCTTTTCATACAGAGCTGAGTAACTGGATAACAGTTAACATGTGTTACTCCACTAAAAGAGCTAGAAAGTCACCTCCATTATTAGACAGGTTCTTAAGAATTGTACTATGCTTTAAATTTGTTTAATGAATGTATGATAATGCAATATGTGATCAAGGAAGAATATTTAAAAACTATTTTGAAATAAATACCTTGCCAAAAGCATATGATTTTCTTTCCATCTTTCTGTTTAGAGGTAAATTCTGGCCTTCAGGACTGTAAGGTCATGAACAAGTACAAAAAGATTTCCTATTAAAAAAAGAAAAATAATTTGTCTATTTAGAAGACTTAAGTTATTAGATTTACCTACCTGAAGTTACCTCTTTAATGTCACCCTCAGAGTATAATACCTAATAAATGTCACCAACAGAGATCGATGGACAAAAGTTTAAAAAAATCACAGAATATCACCTAGTCTCTTAAAGTTTGTCCATTTCAGTATAAGTAGAAGTTAGGGCAATACATTTCAAATGATATAAAGAGGAAATAAATTCACATTTATATTTATTATATTTATTTATATGGTTTATATATTTATATGACTATAAATGAATGTCTAAATAAGCATATTGATATTTATTTATATTTATTTTTCAAATAAACCCTATAAAACAGAAGTCCTGAAACAGCAATCCCCTTGTTGAATGGGCTTATGTTATATTGTGCTAGATATTATGATAAACACTTTGATATGATTTATAAAAAGGGAGGATGAAGTCCTGACCCATGAGGAACTTACATTCTAATCAAAGATAAGTATAAAATATGTTGCATACAATTGAGTAAGTAATAAAGGGAAAAAGTAAATGTGAGGGGACTATGAAGTGTGGTACTAGGGAAGAAATTCAGCAAATTGAATGAGTAGCCAAGAGCAGAGTGTAGTGATACACACCTGTTATCCTAATTACTTGGAGATAGAGCAGAGGTAGGGCAAGAGGATAGGGAGTCTAAGATCAGGGAGGCTCTAACTGAAATTAAAAAAAAAAAAAAAAAAAGAAGGCTAGGGTGTGGTTCAGGTGCCTGAGTGGGTTGAGCCTCTTGTACAATGGAAGGCCTGGAGCAGAAGGGAGAGAAAAGGTGGGGAAGGGAGAGAGAAGATGAGGAGGAATGATTAACTGAGAAAGACTTTTGAATATAGACTTAAGGAAACTGAATTTGGGAGCCAGATAATCTGTTCCTGAGCACTTCAACCAGAAAGAAAGCAAGTACAAGAAGGCTCTCTGGCAAGGAGCCAGAATGTTCTAGAACACTGGGAAAGTACTTGAAGCTAAAGCAGAGGAAGCAAAGGAAAAGGAGAAAAGCAGATGGAAGAGCCTAAGGGAAACAAGCAGATCATTGAACTCTGAAGGGGCAGGGTGTGTGGCAGAGTTCTGAGCAAGAGGTGACAGGATCTGAAATCCTCTCTGAATGGGCTCTTATTACTGTAGGAAGAAAACCAGGTGGGTCTACATTCCTGGATGCCCAGTGAAGAAAACACTTCCAAGAAACTATGGCAAATGCTACTGTTAGGTCAAGACAAGTCTGAATAACACCTTAGGTTTTGCATGTTGAAAGAAGCAATGTATGGTGAGGAGGCAAGGTCCTCAAAACAAGAGAGAATAGGAAAACAAAACAGCTCCGATTCTGCCAAGAAGAAAGAGAGAAACAAGATAGCAGGAAGTGGCGCTGTGGCTCAAGTGGTAGAGCGCTACCCTTGAGTGAAAAAGCTCAGGGACAGCGCCCAGGCCCTGAGTTCAAGCCCCACAAACCCCCCCCCCCCCCCCACTCCTCTCCACACACACACAAAGCAGCTGTGGGGGAAATAAAGAGTCATAAGGGTTTGAGAAGAAAACAAGGGGGAGAGTATTTTCACTGAAGAGAGACTGCAGAACATGGCTTCACAAAACATATCTCCTCTTTTTGGCTTTCAATTCTCTCACAAGCGGATCCTCACTTTTTCCCTGGCAAATGTCCATTCACAGCAACTGCAGCCCAAACTTCATTGTATCCATTACCATTCATGCTGTTTAGACGCTAATGTCCCCCAGGTACGACATTTGCTTAACAAACACTGAGTGAGCCTCCACCTCACAGAGGCTTCCCCGGGCCCTGCCTTTGTGAGGCAATTTCTTTGGGACCTGGCAAGACCAAAACCAGTGCCCGGACAGGCCACACACTGAAGGAGCAGGGGCGTTCCCAAAACGAGGGGGCCCCTCCTCCCTTCAGAACAACTATTCCTAAGGGACCCAGCAACCGTCCATCATTTCTCTCCGGGCTCCGATGACTGACCCATTCCTTTCTGGAACCTTCCCTCACCCAACTCTGTTACGACCTCCCAACTGGTCCTCACACCAGTCCTGTTCCCCCAGTCTCCAAGGCTTCCCTCATCCTCATCAAGGTTCACGTCTGTCCCCGAGGGGTCTAGGCCCACTGGGCAGTCCGGAGTGTCCCATTCTCCCTTCAGGACCGTCGCGGAGAGCCGTACCTTAGCTCCGCCCTCATCCTAGGCTCCCGCACCGTGAGGCTCCGCCCCCTAGATCATCTGACCGAGCCCGACGCTCCGCCCACTGAGCGCTCCTTGGGTGCCTCAGTCTTTCCCGCGGATGCAGCCCCCTATGAGCAGGCTTCCCAGCAGTGGGAAGCAGCTGACCAACAGTGTGGGAGCGCTGAGGCCGCGCCCATCGCCCCACCTCACAAGGGCCTGTGACCTCACCCGCCCCTGGCACTGCAGGCCCTGCACACAACTGGGGGGCCTCTTGTCTTCACACGATGCTCCCCATAACCCTGGCATGAATGTCGCCCTCAGTCCTACTGGCTTCCTGCTCTGTCCTGCCCTCACAGTCTGACCCCACTTCTGTTTTTTCCTTCTGTCCATCCTGTGAATGCCTCCGCCCTCCCTCAAAACGATATTTCAATCACTCCGTGATACTCATCCTTTAGTTCTTTTATTCCATTTGTCATTTTCCCTAAATTAATTCAACCATGTATGTTTAGATATGTAAAAAAAAAATATAGAATGATTACATCAAGCCTACTAACAGTCATCTGCTCACTTATCTTTTTTAAGGGTGAGACATCTGAAAAGGACCACAGTTTTAAGATGTACATTTACTCTACGTAAATGTGTACATTTACATATGCAACAGATTTTAGAACAGGATCCCTCCCATCTGCCTGAAATTTTGTACCATTTGAATCGTATGTTCCCTCCCAGTCACTAACAACCAACATTCTATCGCCTACTCTCATGAATTTGACATTGTCATATTTTATGTACAAATCAAACGCTGCAGTATTTTTCTTTCTGCTTTGTTTACTTAGCATAATGTCCACTCATTTTCTGCATGTTGTTGCAAGTTGCGGAAGTTCTTTCTTTATTGAGGCTAAAATAACATTCCCTTACATACACATGTTTACTTGATCCATTCCTTCATTGATGGTCACTTCAATTGGCTTCATATCTCGACCATTTGGAGTAGTGCAGTAAGACATGAGTGTCAATTGTCTTCCTGGCACACTGATTTAAATTCCTTTAGAGATATACCTAGAAGTGGGATTGCTAGATCATATACTAACCCCATTTTTCTTCATGAGGGGAGATCTCCATACTGTTTCCATAATGGCTGTATTAATTTATTAATATTGATCTTTTTTCTCTAAATCCTCACAGTAGCTGTCATTTATCTTTTTGATAACAGGCATTCTTACTGATAGAAACAGATATCACATGTTCTTCATAATATCCCTGTTGTGTATGTCTTCTTTGGGGAAAATATGTTTTCAGATGCTTTGCCCAGTTTTTTGGTTAATTATTTTTATGTGTGTGCCACTCCTTGGGGCTTGAACTCAGGGTCTGGGCAATGTCCCTGAGTTTTTTTGTGCTCAAGGCTAGCATTCTACCACTTGAACCACACAGCTCCACTTCTGACTTTTGTGGCAATTAATTGGAGATAAGTCTCATGGATTTTCCTGCCGAGGCTGGCTTCAAATCATGTGATCCTTGAATCTAAGCTTCCTGAATAGCTAGGCATAAGCCACTGGCCACCCAGCTGATTATTTCTTTACTTGCTAACAAGTTGTTTGGTTTTTTTTAAATATACTTTGCATATGAAGCCCTTGTTAGTTGTATACTTTACAAATCTTTTTTCTCACTCTGAGTTGTCTCTTCACTCTCCTGTTCCTTTTGCTGAGCAGAAGCTTTTCAGTTTAGTTCCAATCTATTTATGTACTTTCAAACGCA